AGATGAAAGGTAAAAGGGATAACTTAAGTTAAGGAAAGCTGGTGAGAAACAAGCCAAGCTAAGGCCAACATTCATAAATAATAAGACTGCCATGTGTGATTTATTTGGGTTCTGGGTGGTGCCCCCTAAAAAAAGCCTAAGAGTGAAAAGCAACCCGACAATAAACATCACAATACTAAACATAGATGCACCACCCAATATAGTCGATTTCAACACCCTAGTCTCCAATAGGCAGGTCATCTGGACAAAAACAGAGAAACCTTAGAATTAAATGACATCCTACATCATCATGTGGACCTAAGAGATATCTATGTGATATCCCACCCAACAACAAAGAATATACAGTCTACTTATAGACTTTGAAATAAACTTCATTTAGAGATACAAAGCAACCTTAAGCATACAAAGAACTCAAAATGGCCCAACACTTGTTACTTTCTGCAGAGGAACCAGGTTCAATGCTCTCATGCACTTGGTTCCTCAAGGCCATCTGTATCTCCAGTTCTGTGGGGGCCAATGCCTTTTGTTTTGTATCAAACACTCCCATGGTTCATATACATACATGCAGGTAAAACATACATACAAAATAAAGTCAAAAAACGGACACCAGTTTAAAAAATGGGCTATGGATCTAAACCACATTCTCAAAAGAAGAAATAAAATTGTCTACAAAATATGTCAAAGAGTATTCAATCCTATTATCAATTAGGGAAATGCAAATTATAACTACATTGACATTTCATCCTACCCTAAACAGAATGGCTATGATCAAGAAAGCAGCTGACAACAGTCTAGAGGATTCAGCAAAGGGTAAGCCCTCTTTTCCTGTTGATGAGACTGAAAACTGGTACAGTCACTCTGGAAATCAATGTAGAGAATTTGTAAAAAGATAAAAAGTAGATCTACCATATGGCCCAACTATACCACTCCATGGCATAAGGTCTCTGCATCCCACTCCATAGATATTCACTCAGCCATGTTCTTTGCTGCTCTATTCACCATAGCTAGGAAATGGAAACAACCTAAATGTCCCTCAACTGATGAACTGATGATGAAATGTGGTACATACACACACTGCAGATTTCTATTCATCTGCAAAGGAGAATGAAATCATAAGAGTTGCAAGTGAGGTAACCCAGACACAGAAAGACAAACACTTCATGCTCTCTGTTATTTGTGGATCCTAGTTTAAAATCTTTAGATGTGAGTGTATAACCAGGGGTGATTAGCAGAAACCAGGAAAGCAAAAGAAAAAACAAAAACAAACAAGCAAACCCATGGTGTGCTAGAAGAGGCCCCAAAGAGGGGGATAGTGTGACGAAGGTGCTATGTATGGGGAAATAGGGAAATTGGGAGGATGAAGTTCATCTGGGTAGGGGACAGTAGAACAATAGAGAGAGCAAGAGAGAGGCAGGAGGGATAAAGAACACCAAGGATGATTGAAAAATTCATAGGGAAACATAATATTTTGTTTACTTAAAACAACACATACAGCTAGGCGGTGGTGGTGCATACCTTTAATCCCAACACTTGGGAGGCAGAGGCAGGCAGATCTCAGTGAGTTTGAGGCTAGCCTGGTCTACAAAGCAAGTTTCAGGAAAGCCAGGACTGTTCCACAGAGAAACCCTGTCTCAAAAAAACCAAACCAAAACAACAACAAAAAACCCATATAGTGTATATGTGTATGTGTAATACACATGTAAATAATTTAAATGAAATTGTGCTATTTGGGGTGATAATTCTCCCCTCAGATGCCATAGACTACCTAACAAAACCCTGTGCCAAACATGGGAAATATGTGCGTTGCTAGTGGAGTTCAAGATTTCCAGAACAATATAGGCTGTGGCTATTGCCCTTGACACGGCAATTTGGAGGAATCACAATGAAACCTGATGTGGAAGCTTCCTGCCTGAGGACTAGTTCTCATAGCATTTGGATGTGCAATGCCAGCTGCCAAGAGAGAAAAGGAATCAATAGTCCTACCCAACTGTAATGCTTGTGAACCACAAGACAAGGTATACCCAATGGTGTGCAGTAGTGGCACTCACATCTTGGGGGAAAACCAACAGTCATCTAATCGGATTTAAAGCCTGCTTAACAGGAAGGAATTCATTAAATAGAGCTAGCTAGCTATGACTGGTAAGGCCACAGACCCTAAAGGGTAACCTACTACTAAAACTTCCCTAAACCAGTGACACAAGTCCCCACTGTGTTCAAAGTACCCATCCTTAAATCCATGGATATGTGTAGCTCTCATTCCTTATCAAAGGCCTTGTTTTTGCAGCAGAAAGAGATAATCCACACCTGGCCAGATACAAAGAATAACTGACTACGGGTTTCCCATCTCCCATTGATAACATCTACAACACAAGGCTTAGGGAAAATTAGGGAAGAGAGTCTGGAAAGGTTGTAAAAGCCAGAAGTCCAAGTTTCCTGCTGCAGGATACTGTCTTCTATAAATGATAGTGAGATGCACTGTGAAATTTTAACCACATTGTTCCCTAAACAAGACCTGCACAATAACAACACAAGTTGATGTGACAGTGTGGATCAGAGAGGGAGAACCAGTATTTCTCTAAGGATGAGTTCCCTGATACAATGTTCAAAGCTCTAAACACATATACATATGAACAATACCAAGTGAACTCAGCATTGTGTGTGTGTTGTGTGTGTGTGTGTACAAAAGAATAGGTGATGAATTAGATAGGGAGTGGCTAGGACGTGGGAGGAGCTGGAGTGGGGAGAGAGTGGAGTGAAATAATGTAAATATACCATCCATGTATGAAAGTTTCAAATAAAATAAAAAATTATACTGACTTTAATGTTCTTTTGATTTTTTTGACATGTGCATGTAGTTGTCAGAGGACAACTTTGAGAGTCAGTTCTGTCCTTAGGTTGTCAAGCCTGATGGCAAGCGCTTTTATCAGCTATGCCTTCTTACCAGCCCTGTGGTTCTCTAGGTCTGTCTGGTGTCCCTATTTCTTACTGGCCATGCTCCTGGTGGACCAGTGAGCTTGTGTCCAGACCAGTCATTTTACTTTTGGTCAGCAACTCTAATGGCTTAATAAACTCTTTTATTCCAGAGATATATTGGCCTCAACATTTTTACTAAACAGTAACAAATACTAAATAGTAACAAAAAATAACAAAAGAGTATCTTTGTTACTTTTCTGTCACGGTGATAAGACACCATGACCAGGGTAACATGTCAGATAGCAAAGCTATGATGGGTAGGTACACCTTGGAGAGGCAAAGCCTTAGGGGATGGTCTCCAGAATGCCCCTTGCTTCTTTTGTGCTTTTTCACGCTTGCTGCTATGTGTTCTTTCTGTATCTGGTATGGTGTGATTACTATGTGAAAGAACTCCATTGCATCTAGTGTGATTGTTTCATGGGAAAATCCCACTCCTCCTCTTCACTGGGCAGTTTACTTGCCGATCATAATGAAGATGATCCTTATAAGAGCAGTGATTTAATTTGAACTTTCAGAGTCAACCTAAAAGGTACAGGTGGTGAAGACAGTTAGTGGAGATGGTTTAGGCTGCCTGGCCAATTGTTCTAATGAGAGATAAAAAAAAGACAGAGATAAGATTAGAAGTTACCCTCCCCTTTGCTAGATAGGAGATTTGCTGAGGATGGAAAATAAGAACAAGGAGGTTTCATGCATTATAGCCTATGAATTTTGCCTGTGTGAGTGGGGGGTGGGAACAGGATTATGATCAAAGAAAGCAATTGTGTCCCTCTACCCAAAGTTAGGTCTGAGTTCCTTGGTCATGTAGCTTACAGAATTAATCAGGCTTCGGTATGCACCTTGAAAAAAACAAAGTTAAGAAAGGAAATTAAATGACCCTGTTGTGTGTAAAGAAAAAAATAGATGGTTAGCTAGACCACTTGTTTAAGGTTTTGTAGAGTAGAAATACAATAGGAATCTGCTACATTGAAACTGCAGACAGCTACCTGGCAATACAATGGAACTGACTAAAGTATAAGAGTTGCTTAAAATTTTGTTAATCAATAACAAAAGGATCATTGCTTTGTGGTAAAGATGTTATGGTGGGACATTTAATACAAATTAATACAAAGGAAAATGTGTAACTACCTGTGGACTTCGGAAAAAAACATGTAACTTGTGATCATAATGTGATTTCTTCCTGTGTAAAGATTTTAAATTTGTTTTTGGAAAATATGTAACTTGTGGTTGTAAGGTAATTTTTTCTTACATAGAAATAGTTGTTTTAGGCAGTATAAAAGGGATAAGGGAAAATAGAAGAGAAAAAGAAGAAAAAATAAAATGAAGAGAAAAATAGAAGAGAAAACGAAGAAAGAGAAAGATAAAATGAAGAAATAAAAATGAAATAAAATGCTCCCTCAGGTAAGTCTCTTGTGTGTTTAGTAGCATCGTCTCCACATCTCCTCTCCAGCTTCTCTGACCTCTTGACTCTAGATGTCAGCAGCAACTCAAAAAGGAAAGTTTATAACAGGGAGCTTATGGTTTCCAGTTTGAATCCATGACAAAGCAAAGGCATGACAGACAGTAGGAACAGCTGAGAGCTCACATCTTACACACCAACAATCACAAGGCAGAGAGAGAACACTGGAAATGGTGCAAGTCTCTTGAATTCTCAAAGCCTATCCCCAGTGACCCACTCCTCCAATAACCACACCTCTTAATCCTTACCAAACAGTCGAGCCAATAGGGACCAAGTTTTCAAGCATACAAGTCTATGGGGACTATTCTCATTCAAGCCACCACAAGAAGAAATATCCTCTCTGTTAGATTCAAAAGAAAAAAAATAGAAGCCAGACGATCGCTGCTCTGAGACACTGTCCTGTGATCTTTGATCTTCATATAAGTTCTTAACCCCCTTGCTTGTGATCTTTAAGGGGACAGCGTCTGTTTCTAATTTCCTGCCATGTGGAATCAAGTTCATTTCATTTCCCAGTTCACAGCAATCTCAAGACAGCCAGCATCTTTGTCTTACAGTTGCCATGGCATGGAATTCTATTTGCATATTGGCTTGTTTCTTAGCAATAGATAAAGACCTTGAGGTGAGGGTCTGAGCAAGGATATTCCATTCCCCTCTGGATCTGTGTTGCTTGTATTCTTACCTCATTCTCACTAAGAGAATCTGAAAAGTGAAAGTTTTAGAGGGAAGATCTGGTGGGTGGGGTTGGGATCAGTGCGAGTTTACTAGAGTTGTCAGGGGCACTTAAACAGGAAGGTGTACCTTAGCTCAGCTGAGGAGAGAACCAACATGCCTCTTCCTTCTCCATGGAACACCCAGAGCCTCGACCCTGGATCCAAGAACCATTAGGTTGGTAGATGTAGTACTAATCCTGGCCATAAATTGACTGATTTCATTGACTTAAGCTTAGTTAAAAGAAGGGAAAAGAAGAGAAAAGAAAAGCTGTTACCCTCAGGGGCAGCAGGAGAGAAGACTGGCATCGGGAACTGGAGTGAATGAAGTCTATTCCCCTGTAGATCCAGGAGTAGCTAAACTGTAAGACACTAGGCCTTCTGTGTCCCTCTGCCCTGCCTCACTGCTGCTCTGGCTCTTTCCAAGCCCTAGCAAAAGCAGTGCCTGCAGGTAATGGGGTCCAGAATTGGCAGGGGGTAGAGTGGGGACCCCTAGAGATCTTGGTCTATTTTGGCTTGTCCTGGTTCACACCTGTACAGCTCCTGGCACTGCCTAAGAGGCGTTAGATTCCTGCTTCCACTACGCATAGGCTGTTACTGCTGGAAAATATAGATTTTACATATAATTGTGTTGCAGTACCCAAATCAAAACCAGCATCTTTGTCTAAAATTGCTCTTTATTTTTTAAGTTTATTTTTATTTTTATGTACTTTAGTGTTTTGCTTGTGTGTGTGTGTGTGTGTGTGTGTGTGTGTGTGTGTGTGTGTGTATCTGTGTGAGGGCATCACATCCCCGGAACTGGAGTTACAGACAGGTGTGAATTGCCATGGGGATGCTGGGAAGAGCAGACACTGCTCTTAACCACAAAGTCATCTCTCCAGCCCCCAGGTCTACTTATTTTTATGTTTTAAAATATTTGCTTGCCTCTACAGACACCATGATGTCATTAACTTGGCCAGTTATTTGACAATCTCTATTTCCTGATGACTTGCAGTTTTCTTACACAACATAAATCCACTTGTAACCTCTTGAGCATGTATCCCTCCTCTTTCTTTGACCTTGAATATTCTTTGAGTAGACTATTTAGAGATGGAAATATTATAAATTGCCATGCTGTTTTAAAAGTGGCTTGAAGCCAGGCATTGTGACACAAACCTAACACTCAGGAGTGTAAGGTAGGAAGGTCTGGAGTTCCAGGTCAGCGTTAGCTACATCACAACACCTTTTCAAAACAGCAACAAAAATAATGAAGACAGAAAAGAGGAGGTTTTATTGCACTTTTTTGTCCCATATAGTAATTGTCTAATCTCTAAAGTGTCTTGTATTTAAGCTTAATTTTTGTTGAACGTACAACAAATCTGTTCCTGTATGTCAGGAATTGAAATTTCAAAAGCAAACAGAATTTATGTCTCACTGATATGACAAATTTGTACATATTGCAGATTTAAGAATATTAAGGATTCAAGACTTTATAATGTATATAAAGTTTCTATGTATATATGAATGACTTTCATCCTGATTTCACTAATGTAAAATGTACTTTCAACTCATTGAATATAAAATTCATATATGCCATTTCCTTTTTTTAGGTTAATTGTGGATGAAGTTTAGTCACAAGACAATACCATGCAGTGGTTCAAGAAGAACCCTTTGTATCTCTGGTTTGAGCACTATGGATATAAAAAGTAGGTGACATGACCCAGACGTACCCTTCAAGCACAGCTCTCAGTCTGGGCTAACAGAGTCAGGGACATATGTGCACCTTCTTAATAGATGTAAATTGAATACAAATGGAGTTTGACAACTTCTCAGTTTAAAGAAATCTATGCTTATAATTTTCCTTCAAAATTCTACAATTTAGGCATTTATGCCACTATTATTGTACTCATGGACATATCTTGCCAGACTGGTTGTTATAAAGTTGGTTACTTCCATAGCATTTATGACAGTATTGCTGTACTCATGGACATATCTTGCCAGGCTGGTTGTTAAAATATCACTCAGGGGTCACAGCTCCATAAGACTTGTTCCAACACCATCAAAAGATAATTAATTGTGTGTGTACGCACACACATGCATGTGCATGTATGTGCATATGTCGCATATTTGTGTGTAGGTCAGAAGACAGCTTGGTAGGGCAAATTCTTTCTTTCTTTCTTTCTTTCTTTCTTTCTTTCTTTCTTTCTTTCTTTCTTTCTTTCTTTCTTTTTTTGGTTTTTCGAGACAGAGTTTCTCTGCATTGTTTTGGAGGCTGTCCTGGAACTCACTCTGTAAACCAGGCTTGCCTCAAACTCACAGGGATCTGCCTACTTCTGTCTCCCAAGTGCGGGGATTAAAGGCATGTGCCACCAACGCCCGGCTGGTAGTGTCAATTCTTATCTTCCACCATACATGGGTTCTGAGGATTGAACTTAGGTTGGCACGCTTATGCAGCATGTGCCTGTACCCACAGAGTCATCGTGTTGTCTCTCATCACCTTTCCATTTCCTAGGCCTTAAGTGTATTTTTCGATACACTTTCAATATTTAAAAATTTTTGGTTTGTTCTTCTACATGTTGTTCCAGGTGCTGTGTTTTTTGTCCCAGGAGTTATGCTTTTTGAGTATCTAGTTATAGTGACTTGTAAGCTCACATTCCTTTGCACTATTGGCTGATTGGGAAAGAGCTGAAGGTTTGCTTGGGGTGAGCTCAGTTTGCAACTGTTGTCTCAGCATTGTATGAAGATTTATTGGTTTAGGTGAGGAATTACAAAGTCACTTTTGTTGGAAGCCATGACGGGAGCTGTGCCTTTCTTTAGCATGAGGAGAGGTAAAAGGGTCTGGAACAAAGAGTTTCAGGACCTCGGAAACACTATGGCATAGGCTACATCCCCTTCGATCTCCTGGGAAAGTAACATTGAAGGAGACAGTCTTCAGGGATATCATTTGGGCTTTGGAGATGTAGGGACTGAGAAAGTGAAGATCCAATGATTGGCTTTGGCCTTTCCCTCACTTGTAGGCTTGTCTGCTTTACCTTAATTCTACCTGAGTGGTCACTGCTGGTTTCTGAGAAAAGGCTTTAATGGTCTTCAGCCAGGGTAACACCTTGAAAACATTCATCTCCTGTGTGTTCCTCAAGATTGCCTTTGAAAGTCCTTTTGTCCTGTGTTACAGGAGTTATGGCACAGGTCTTATTTAGCATATTTCTATTGCTATTTGTTTCTTTTAATTTCTTTCCTTTTTTGTTTGCTTGTTTGAGACAGGCTCTCATGTAGCAGAGGGTCACTTCTGTGTTGATAAGTAGCCAAAGATGAATTTGAACTCTGGATCTTCTTGCCCCTACCTTGGTAGTTCTGGGATCACAGGTGTACACCATTTTAGCAACCTTCATTGTGTGTGTGTGTGTGTGTGTGTGTGTGTGTGTGTGTGTGTGTGTTTAAGATTTAATAGTGTTCTGTCTGCATGTACTCCTTCAGGCCAGAAGAGAGCATCAGATCTCATTACAGATGGTTGTGAGCAACCATGTGGATACTGGGAATTGAACTCAGGACCTCTGGAAGTTCGGCCAGTGTTCTTAACCATTGAGGCACATCTCCAGTCCTGTTGCTATTTTTTTTTTCTTTTTGGTTTTTTGAGACAGGGTTTCTCTGCGGTTTTGGAGGCTGTCCTGGAACTAGCTCTGTAGACCAGACTGGTCTCAAACTCACAGAGATCTGCCTGCCTCTGCCTCCCAAGTGCTGGGAGTAAAGGCATGACCCACCACTGCCCGTGTTATTTCTTTTGTTTTGTTTTGTTTTGTTTGTTTGTTTTATGAGACAGGGTTTCTCTGTATTGTTTTGGAGGCTGTCGGACCAGCCTGCCTCGAACTCAGAGATCCGCCTGCCTCTGCCTCCCGAGTGCTGGGATTAAAGGTGTGCGCCACCACTGCCCATCCTGTGTTATTTCTTAAAATATGTTATTCCCAGGAGAATGCGACTACTAAGGGTACCACAGGAACTTTTTCTCTAGAAAAAGTAATGCACGATTTCCTGGGTTGTCATAAGGGAAAATTATTTTGATGAGAATATGTTTTGAATTTCAAAAGTATGTATCAGTTTCCATTGTTGCAACATAGTGGTGTGTGTGTGTGTGTGTGTGTGTGTGTGTGTGTGTGTGTGTGTGTGTGTGTGTGTTGGAGACAGAGCTTCCACAACTAGCCCAGACTGACTTTTAATTCAAGATCCTGGCTCGGTCTCCCAAAAAGTAGGGTTACAGGTGTGTACCACCACACTTATGTTGTGGTATAACATATATTGGAAGGCATGATGTCTAAAACTCAATTGTACTTGTAAAAGATGAACAGTCAGCATAGTTTTATTAATTTGACCATCAAAAGATGTGTTTTATATGTGGCACAGGTCTACAGAGGGGAGATTATTTTCATAAAGAGATGAGACCACCCCAAACCAGCATTTGGGTAGTGGGAAGTCTCAGTTGTTTATTCTGCTACTTGTTGTGTGTTCTATCACACTCTGCCCTTACAGAAGCTTTTAAGTGTGACCCAGAGCATCTGTACTCTCTGAATAAAGGTGACCAGGAGGGAGCCCTTGCTACTGTGGTGTTGGCTATTCTGGGGTTTTCTTTTTCTGTTTCTGCTCACAAGCAATTTTCCTCCTCATCCCTGATATTAAGCTCACCCAGAGTGACTTGAATGGCTTGCAAATGAAGGAATAAAAAGGAAAACCGTGATTTTTACCTTTAGAGTCCCCATCCTCTTTCCTGTGATGGGCCCATGCACATAACACACAGAGGTTGCCAAAGGGTCCCCAGTTCTGAATTCTGAGTCTTTTTTCAGTCCTCTTATAATTCCTTGTGGCTTTTCGTTCCCCGGAATCCAATAGGAGGGAAATGTGATTGCCTTGTAAGATATCTGGCCTGATTGTTGTCTCTGCTCTACTTTAGATCTGCCAACACTTTCATCATATGTTCTCTGTCCTCGGAGGGCATTGTCAACAGGTGAGTTTATTAGACTGATCTAAATCATGACACATTTGGGAAACACATAGCACTAATTGGTTTTCTTAGAGATGAAAACATGTGTATCTAGCTTTCTTTCTTTTAGGAGTGAAATAGAGAAAAAGTAAAACTGATCATTGGGGGAAATTTGCCATAGCCTGTTTATAATTCCTAATATCCAGCAGCCATAACTCTTAGGATTGTATCAATCAGTGACCCTTTCTCAGGTTAGTTTAGAAAGAGGAGAGAGCTCTGCTGGCGACATGGAGGAGATGGGAGTGGGAGGTAGAAGAGCCCCCAGCAAAAAGTGGAGAGGGGATAATGGACCTGAAAGTGTGCCTCACCTTCCAGGGATCCCCAAAATCGAAACATTAAATTGGATTGAACCCAAACTCAGGACTGTAGCTATTATACCTTACTTGAGGGGCATAGAAGGCAGACATGGTGGGTAAAATTAAGGAGGGATGTCAGGATTGTAGTTGGGTTTCTTTTGTTGCTGTTGTCTGTTTTTTACTCTTTGGGGGCCCGCCACCTAGCTCCCAAATAAATACATGGAGGCTTATTCTTATTTATGGATGCCCTGACTTAGTTTGGCTTGTTTCTAGCCAGCTTTTCTTAAATTATTCCATCACCTTTGCCTCTGGGCTTTTACCTTCCTCCATTCTATATGCCTTTCTTTCCTTCTTACTCTGTGTTGGCTGTATGGCTGGCCCCTGGAGCACTCCTGCTGTAGGTGGGAAGGGATCGGGCAGGGAGGGCATATTTCCCTTATCCTTACCACCCCACGGCATATGAGGGAGGGGGCAAGGGAAACTCTCCTGCTTTCATACTGACAGGCCTGGTTCACCCACCAACAGGATCAGCTCTAGTTTACTGGCCAAGTGTGATACCTGAGGGGCAGGATCAGTTCTCCCTAGTGGTGCAGCCAATGAGGGGCAGGACCAACTCTGTGCAGCCCTATCATCACTGTTTTTGGTGGTAACAGGAACCACAAACATCAACACAGACACCATAGCCCCTGGTGGAACGCAAGTTATTCAGATCAGCATAGTCCCAGTAGAGGCTCAACTCTCAGACACTGGCCCTAGGTGGCAGCTGAGGCCCCTGACATCTGCATAGTCCTTAGTGGTACTATGAGCCATGGACAACAACTCTGCCCCCAAATAGGCACAAATAGTGAAGACCTGAAAAGCCATGCTCCATTTACCTCCATTGCATATCAATGAGTGCCCTAAGCACAGGTAACCCCCATACCTTTTCATATCACGTATTTCCAAAAGTCCAGAGAAGTAAACATAGAATGCACACCCTATGTGCATAGTCTGCAAACACCTACCCCAACTTCTAGAGAGTCCCCACTCTTGTTATAACCTACAGAGGAAATGGGTCACATAGGCTCCAGCACAATTACTACAAAGAAACTACTAAGAATTCATTTGGAATTGCACTCAATACTACACACAAATCAATTTCCACACTCCCCCAGGCATTCCAAGGGAAGGCTGCTCCCTAAGAAAGATCTCACAAATACACAAACCTCAACCTAGAAACACAAGGAATTTCAAAAGCAGGCAACACGGGTTCTCCAAAAGTTAAAAAAAAACAACAACATAGAAATGAACTCCAAAGATATAAAATTAGATTAGATGCCAGACAAATAATTCAAAAGAATGACTTTAAATTAACAATAATTTCAAAAACAATATAAATAAGCAGCTGATTGAATTAGGGAAGACAACTAAGGATATAAAAGAGAAATTCAGCAAAGAGATGAAGATTCTGGAGGGAGGTATTAGAAATCTAAATGAAAAGTTCAGTAAATGAAATATTAAAATAACTCCGTATAAAAGAGAACTTTGGAGATAATATTAATAAATTAGGACATCCAAGTGGTAAATAAATAAAAATAGTATTTTAAAAGGAGTGAACAGAAAATGCAAGATCTCTGGGACACCATTAAAAGATCAAATGGATATTAGGTATAGACAGAGAATTGGAATGGGAGTACTGGCTAGCAGCACTTTCTACCAAGGATCCCTGTGGCCACACTGGGCAGAGATGAAGGGAGGGGCTGTTCACCATCCTCCCTCTCCTCCATTCTGGTCTTCCCAGCTGACTCCTAGTCCTGCATTAGCCTACTGACCAAAGGTGGAAAACATACAGAGGACATTTAATCCTTGTTGCTGATCCTTTATTGATACAGTCTTCTATTTCCAGTGAAAGCATGTATCTTGGTCACGAAAGCTTCTTTTGCAGTAAGCCATTGTTAATGAAGAGACATAACTGGTCAAAGTACTGCTATTAAGTCACTATGAGTGTACACACACACACACACACACACACACACACACACACACACACACACACTCCTGACGACAGCTCATGTTTCCACTCTGGTAACCTCAGGCCATATCCTAAGCTTCTGCCCTGGGCCCCACAATCTGTTGTATGTCACTTAGTTTTGGGCCCTATAGGGAAAATAATTCTTTGATGTTGTCAAACTTTGTTCTTTGTGTCTCTATTTTCTTTCTTCACAGAAACAAAATTGAGTCATCGAGTGCTTCCGAGGTATTTAAACCAAACATTTGGTAAGCTAACTTTTTTTTTCCATCTGAATGGAAACCATTTTAATGTACTCATGGAAACACACAGTGTCAGATGACTGGTGGGAGACACAACCTCCCAAGGGGAAACTAAGGAGGAAATGATAGGACTTGGGAAGCAGAAACTAGAAGGGCTAAGAAGGGTGATGTCAGCCCAATGTATTACTGTTTACTGAGAAAATTTCTTAACAGCAAACAATTGTGATGTTATATAATAGATTGTTCATGGATGTGTTGTTAATAGCAAATAAAAGTGTTTTTTCCTATAAAAAAAAAGAAAGTTGGTTCGTATCTTTCATTTTTAAAATTCTCAGGCAGTTCCAGATTGACTTTTCCATGTCCTAACACCACAGTGCGCAGCACTAGAGTTTTGCTTTCTAGAGCCTCAGGGCAACCCAAAGCAAAGGCAGTACCTCACCGAGACCCTTTGAAGCATTCCATCCATACCCAGTGTTGAGACTGTTGTTTCATAACCCATGTGTTCTGGAAGCAGCATTGTCCATCTATGTAGGGTATCTTCATTTTTTTTTTAAAACTTCCTTTCAAAGTAGTGAGTTTCCATCGAGTTTTCATACAGCCTTCGTGTAAGTTAACCCACCTCCCCATGACCTTTCCTCCCCTAGCATGTCAATTATTTTTTGGTTCAACCAATTTATAAGTTGTAGGTAAATTTAATGAAAAGTAAGTCTGTGATTTAAGTGGTGTTTGATTGTGTAAAATTTTAATTCTTTAGCCCTGGCAAAAAAGAGGAGAGAACACTAGCCAACAATGAAAGCAACATTGGAAGGTCAGTTACCTATATATATACAAAGAGACACAGGTGTTAGGCATAGAGTGGTTTGTGTATTATTTCTAAAGCATTGGGATGCCAGTGTCTGTTTATCGCATTCCTTCTTGTTTTGGACCTAGTTGAATAAACGAGAAGCGTATCAGGGAAAATTTTAGTGACTAGTGACCCAAACTCATAGAAAACTGTCAAATTGTCTGTGTGTGAGACAAGACTAGAAGTGGCATTAACTTGCTGTGGCTTCAGGAATAAAGCTTTCCAACTGGATAACCTAAGCAACAGCAATTTATTCACAAGTCTGATACACAATGCCTTCAAGGCCAGCTCTTTTGGAGGACTGTGAAGAAAAAGTAGTTTATGCCTCTTTTGCCTGATGCTGGTGTGGGAAATCTTTGGCATTCCTTGGCATATGGATTCATCCTCTATGTCTCTGCCTCAATTTGTACACACTTCCCATGTGTGTCTTATTTCCAGATGTTCATCTCTGTAAGAATACTACTCATATTGGAATAAGACTGAACTAATGAGTGTGATCTCATCTCATAACTGCTTATGCTTGCAATGACTGTTTCTAAATAATAACAGTGATTAGGACATTAACAATTTAATATTGGGGACAACATTCAAAATGAGGAGAAATGCATCTTGGGATTAAGGCAGTGGTAATAATCAAACATGGGGCTGTGGAGCTCAAACATGAAAGATGGAACCCATGGATACTAAACTTGTTCCTAACCCTTAAAAGCTCTCCAACTGTGTTGGACTGATACCTCCAATGCAAACTTGCCATTATTTTGGAGTGAGCTACTTACTAAACCCTGTTCAATGGGCAGAAGAGACACACGTAATCTTTGAAAATGAGCAGATGAGGAGGAGAATTCAGAATCAGGAATCAAGTGAGGTCATGGTGATGAGTATCTACAAACTGAAGTTGAGTTTGAAGTAACATCACCACAAAAGACAAGTTGGTACTGAGGTAACAATTAAATCTATGAATATTACTATTTTCATAGGCCTAAGATATTCTTTTTTTGTCACTATTATTTTGCTTTTGAGACAGTCTTACTCTGTAACCATAGCTAGCCTGAATTCACTATGTAGGCTGTCCTTGGACTCTTGGAATCCTCCTGCCTCACCACCTTATTGCTGAGATTATAGGCTTGAGCTATCATACCTGTCAAGACAGCCATTAACATATAAAGCCCAATCCGTATTCAAAATGGCATGCCAAGTTCAAATAATGATCTACATATGGGTAGTCAAAGATCAACCAGCTAATGTTTAGAGTAATTATAGTTATTTTGACCATAAAAAGTGTTTTGTGTGTGACATTGTACTTTTATAATCCCTTAGTTTGTATCCAGCAGTAACATTATCAGATTATCGGGAGCCATTCAGTGGCACGTAAGTTAAAAAAAGAAACCAAAAATATATACATATATACATAAATATGTGAATATGTATATGCATCTACACATTTATATAAAGATGAATATATACATATAACAAGTCTTTCTTTGTCCCAAATAATGTGTAGTTGGGTATTCCTTTGGGCCACCAGCTTGCTCCCAAATAATGACAGGGAACAGGGAACTTTATTATTAATTATGAAAGCTTGGCTTTAGGTTAGGTTTGTTTTTTTTTTCCTTTTTTCCTGGGCATATTAAATACATTTAATGATCTATAAAGTAACAATACTTTTTAAAAAGATTTTTTAATTTAAATTAGAAAGGTTAGGCTTGTTTTTATCTAATTCTTGTAAGTTAAATTAACCCATTTCTATTAGTCTACTTTCTTCTGTCACATGTCACTCATCCTGCTCCTTCTGAGTGTCCTCTCCGTGTCTCCATGGCATCTCCTACACACCTCCATTCATCTCCTCTTCTTCTCCCTCCCCAGAAATCCCACCTATATCTCTTGCCTAGCTGTTGACCACTCAGCTCTTTATTAAACCAATCACAGCAATGTATCTTAAACAGTGTACAAATATCCCACAGCACATATACAGAAACACTGAACAATAAGAGACAAAAGAAGCCAACATTAAATGACAGTTGAACACCTAGCCCTAAATGGGCCATGTGTTTTCTCACTCTTTAAAACTAAGGAACACTGGAGAAGAGTGGGTGGAAAGAACGTAAGAGCTGGATGACAGGTACATGTGCTGGGAAACCCTACCTTTACAGCACAACATGGCTGTCACAATCATGAAATCACAGCAGCTGCCATTGCCTGCACTGAGTCTGCGTGAGACTGGGCCTGACAGCGTTCATTCGTGGGAGGAGGAGGGGCTGTGAGGCCCTGCTCTCCTCTCCCCAGGAACCACTGGCTGCTGATGACTGTTAGCAAAGGGGCAATTGTTGTCTCCAGTGGTGTAGCCACAGGGTAGTTACCCATACTCCAGTGGCTAGTTCCTTACCCTGTGCCCACATGGGTGGCCATGGTTAAGCTCGGTATGTTAAAGAAGTAAAACAGAAAGACATGATAGCAGTAAGGGGACTGTTTAGAGGACTGGGAGGGGTGGAAAAGGGATAAAAGGTGATAAGGGATGAGAACGAACAGAGTTCATTATATGCATACATGCCTCAGTCAAAGGATCAATGATCAGAGTGCATTATATACATACATGCCTCAGTCAAAGGATAAATGATCAGAGTGCATTATATACATACATGCCTCAGCCTCAGTCAAAGGATAAATGATCAGAGTGCATTATATGCATACATGCCTCAGTCAAAGGATCAATGATCAGAGTGCATTATATATATACATGCCTCAGCCTCAGTCAAAGGATCAATGATCAGAGTGTATTATATACATACATGCCTCAGTCAAAGGATAAATGATCAGAGTGTATTATATACATACATGCCTCAGTCAAAGGATCAATGATCAGAGTGCATTATATGCATACATGCCTTAGTCCAAAGATAAATGATCAGAAAGTATTATATACATACATGCCTTAGTCAAAGGATAAACTTGATTTAAAAAAGAAAAAAAAGTTAAGGTCTATATAAAGATCCACCCTCAGGTTGTACCCATGGCAAAAACCAAGTACTTAGGTGCTGTGTCTGTCTGAATGTCTCTCAGTGAGATGCTATTGGGGTGTCAGTATTTCTCACCCTTAATAACCAATGCATTGGAAATAATCAGATTCACTAAGTGTTGAGATTACTCTCAGAGCATAGAGACAGACTGGTGCACTGAGAGTGGCTAGGAGGCTTAGCAGAAAAAGACCTGCCATGGAACCTCCATGTATCCCTCACCCTTTGAGTCCTCCGGCCAGGTGAGGCTGGCGCTCCACATGAGTACTCACTGTTAAATAGATGGAGCCACTGCCTCCCAGCTGCAGCTACTTCATCCTATCTCATGGGGAGGACAGAACCACCAGGGGTGAAAGTGAGAGGGTAGAAGACAGAGTTATGACTCGGGGATTTAGGTGTGGTATGAAAGGTATATACCTATAAACTGTAGCTGAGTTAGAAATAAATGCACCAAAAGATTGTCACACTTTGGAGTTAATAGTTAATCTGGATGCATTGCATTTCTTATTTTTGAGGTTATATTTTAATTACATTTCTCCCTTCCTTTCCCTCCTCAAAACCGTTCCACATACCCCGTTTCTCTCCTTCAAATCTGTGGTTTCTTCTGTCATTAATTACTATTGTGTGCAAGTATGTGTATGTATATTATATGCATGTATCTTCCTAAGTAGAACCTGCTCAGTTGGTAGAATGTTACTTGTATGTTTTGGCACTGGACAACCAGTTGGTGTGCTTTTCCCTGGAGAAGAACACCTCTCCCAGTTCCAGCTTTCCTTAGTTGCCTACAAGATGCAAATTAATGATTTTCATATGAATATTTTTAAATCAGCTGCCATGCAATAAGTATAATAAATGTAGTTATTTGATCCCCCTAAAGTGATTATATTTAAACATGTATTTTTTACTAACTGAATACTTTTCAATAATTTAGAATATACACGTGTGATTCAACATCAAAAAGCCTTTATGGAGCAGTGAGTGGTAGGTGAGTGAACTGAATTAAAAACACCCAAAAAGTACAGTTATATATACACACACATGTAAATATGTACATATGTATGTTTCCACACAGATCTACAAACTTCTATTAGCCTGCACGCATGCACACACACACCTGAAAAATACACACAAACCCCATAAAAACCATGGGAAGAGATTGAGATTTGACAAAACTGTCTCAAGAATATTCTTGACATCAGAAAACCTTTTAAACTGTATCTAAATAGTCTCTTTTCATGACTTGTAGTTGACTGCATTTATTTTAAACCAGATTGAGGAAGAGAGGATCCTTCCTTCAGCCAGTTTGTCACTTTAAGTAGCGGCCAATCCCTTAGGAAGCATTCAGAGTTCCTGTAAGAGACCAGACTAGTGTGAGCCAGGGATGGAGAGAATCTGATTAGGAGAAAAAAGAAAGCAAGAGCAAAGAGGGAGATGCAGGACTTTTAGGAGAAGAGATGCAGGAGATGGAGACCTGAAGCATCTTCACCCTCCAGAGCCCTGGCACCATATGGACCAGTTCTACAGTTCCCATCGCTCTACAGTAAGCCCCTGTCAGAGCAGCAGATGCTTGACAATCTCTAATGCAAGAAAACAGCATGACTGATGAAAGTGACGATGTGATAAAGGCTCTGAGAATCACAAGCAAGAAGGGGGTTCCCTTATAACCCGCAGGTAATGTCTGAGATAAGTACAGCGAAGAAAGGCTATTACACTGTAAGAGAGAAGCCCCTCTTTGGACTCTTTTCCATTCTTATAGATTTGAGGTATTCAATGCTGGCGTATAAAGCCTTGTGTTCACTTTAAAAAATCTCCTGTTTAAATTCATGGCATACACATGAATATTTTAATATTGTTCATTAAGTTACAGAACCATTGTTACTAAATAAATACAATTGCAGAATGATAGGTAAAAATTTTAATGTAAACTGAAGCTTAGATTCACAATTCATGTGTGATCATGTATTTTCTTATTCCTTTAACCCAGATTCAGATACTTTGTTGTCAATGACATTTGGTGGCATCACCAATTTCATAACACGAGTTAGAAAATGTAAATGAAGACATAAATGCATCAGAATGCTCACACTTCTACAGTATGCTTGTACACACGCAAACCCAAGCATTAAAATTGGTGGTGGAGGGAGATTGGAATCTGGGAGCTGCACTCCAAGAAGCACCCATGGCAGAAGAGAGTGTCTCTGAGCTGTTACTAAACATTCTTCCTGGTGTGTTTGTAGGGAGCAGTGCTTTTCATTTAGTTTAAGTTGAATAAAGAGAATCACTCTCGGGAGGATGAGTCATCCTGTCAGTGTATTGTCCTTCTGTGTTTGTAGCAGTTAAATGCTTCAGATACTCAGACCTTTTATGTATGGGACATTGGGTGAAGCCTAGAGAGACTCTAATTGGAGTCAGGAAGAAAGAACACCAGGAAGGAGCAGAGGGACCTCTGGCTAGTAAGATCACAGCTAGTAAGTAGTACTGGAAGAAAAACCCTGAAAACAGAAAGCTAAACACCAGACAAAAATCTTACTGAACTTTTTTTTTTACCAGACAAGATATGTCTATTTCAAATATATAGAATTAATTTTGGTGGAAAAGTGATCTGCATGTTTCAGAATAACCGATTGTATTAGTAAAGGCAATTGGAAGAGTGTGAAGTCCAGGGAGTCACACCATGTTCACCCGGTGTGTCTTTAAATCCTGTATCACTTCTCTACATGAGTTAGAACATGGTGAGAAGCTATGAATGAGCTGTGTGCCAAAAGACACATGGGTAGATACAGAACCCTAAATTTATGCATGGAGGTATACTTATTCACAAATTCACAGAGAAGGACAGATTTGGACACCAAGTCCTTCTGAAAGACCCCCAGTGAGAATCTTCCCAGCAGGAGACCCTCGCCCAAAAATGGAGACAGAGCCACTGGATGCAACAGCAAGAGGGTTCTTTATTGCTCACAGAGGCGCCTGCGGATGCTGCAGCACTTCGGGAGGCTGAGCATACCGGGCTGGATTTTAGTACAGCTTATATGGGGTTTGGGGAGGTAGAAGTGGGCTTTATTTGCATATGAAGTCCTGTGGACCTTGCAAGAGCTGCTCTCAATCAGGTCCGGCAGGCTTGATATGCAAATGAGGTAGAAGGCGAGAGTACAGCCGATAGGGTACTCGTCTTGGTGATGTCACAGCTTTTGAATTTCACGCTCTTAAGAAGGGCACGGTTTACATTTGAAATTCGCGCTCTTAGGAAGGGCGCGGTTACAGGAGTGCGGTGGGGGTCTTTCATTCCCCCATTTCTTTTTATCCTTAAGTAAAATCCTTTACTTAACTGTTGTGAGGGATCTCTGTCTCCTGTTGCTTCAGAACCTGATATTGATGAGTTAGGACTAAGGTCTGGATGACTGACAGCCTTTCCTTGATAAACTGCACCAGCCTGTTAAGGATACAGGGACCAAATGTTAGAATAATTACCAGTATAACTAGAGGTCCCATAAGAGTAGAAAGTAAGGTAACATACCAGGGTGATCTGTTATACCATCCTTCAAACCAGCCTTGTTGTGAACTAAATTCTCTTTTTCCCAGGGCCAGCCTCTCTCTTAATTTAGCCATAGTCTCTCTCACTACCCCTGTCTGATCTGCATAAAAGCAACATTCTTCTTTAAGGGCCACACATAATCCACCCTCCTTTAAAAAGAGTAAATCTAATCCCCTCTATTTTGTAAAACAACTTCAGATAAAGAGGTCAGGGATTTTTCAAGGGCAGTGATTGACTTTTCAACTGCTTTTAGGTATGAATGCGTGGCGTCATGCAAGGCTTGGAATCTCCCTGTCTGTATCATGGCATGAGTTCCAGTGCCCATCCCTGCCGCGATGCCCCTGACTCCTAGGAGGATCTCGAGAGTCATGGTTACTGGCTCCCTCCTCTGCCTTCTAGGGGTGTCTTCGAAGAACTCATAAACGGTCTCTGAACTATGATAGGTGATCCTGGGCCACAGCTGGATCAACACACAGAACTCTGAGGTTTGGTTCCACACTTGGGCCGATATACAGGGGGTGACACCTGTGTTACAGGCCCAGTACGTACCATTTGGGGCGGCCAGATAGTAGTTCCCTGCTGACAGAGTCTGGACGGTCCGATTGCAGAGTGGCTGGTGCAACCTAGGAACCTGACCTAAACATGTCCCTTGCCCAGAAACGTCGGGCAAAGTTAGCTTGTGGTGAGGCAGTACCAAACACGATTCCGGGGCTCTGGTATAATTAGAGAAATTTCCTGAAACAGCAATTCCCTCATAGTAGGGGGACCTATGCTGAGGCATAGCCAACAGTCTCTAGCTCGATCGGGGTCTGAGGAGTTAAGGGCCTGGTGGGCTCCTTTTACTAAGTTAATAAGTCTATCCCCTGTCCCCAGGAAGTCTTCCTGGGACTGGGCATCCTGGGACTGGTCAGGGGGTGAGGTTGGTGTGGTTATTTCAACTCTAACTGAGTTACCCACTGGCAGGGGGGTTGGTATGAAACTGGAGGAGGATGCCGGCCTCTGCTCCGCCAGGACTTGGTTGGGACCGATTGGTTGGGAGGCCTGTTGTACTCTAAGTTGTATTTTAAAGTTAACCCCCTGATCTTCCCCTTCTATGTACCAGCGGAGCCCCCAAGTATATCCCCTGATCCATTCTGGAGCCTTTTTACCACTCGGTGTAAAGGTGATGTTAAGGGGAAGGTAGACTCCTCTAGAAAAGTTGGAACAATATCTCTTTTCCCCAGCCCTTTAATATGGTGACCTTGTCCCAGGAAGATGAGGGGTTCCAGTATGTACCGCCAGTGGTCTCACAACCCCAGGCGGCGCAAAAGTAAGAGTCATAGCTTCCGCATTTACGAGACATGTGGAAGTCCCTCCCATCCTTTGGGCACACGTAAAAGTCTTGGTGACCCAGTTTACACCTTTTCTCGATGGTGGCACATCCTATTGGGGTCCGGACTCTCCGGACACCATAGCCATGCACGCTTCTATTGCCAGGGTTTGATCTTAGTTTTTCTGGCAATGTGTCTGCCTCATAATCTGGTATATCCCAATAGTCTGACCCTACCACCAGTTGGCAGAAGTCCGGAGTGAGTGAGGGCCACCAGGTTCCCACAGCATGGTTCCCTGACTGAGACCACAAGACATTTCCTGCTGGGGAGACTATCTGCCAGGTTAATTGCTTTAGGGTATGGGGGCTGGTCAACAGGATGGGGTAGTCAAAAGGGTAGCAAGACAACTAATTGGAATAAGTCTTATCTTTAGGGGGTTTTAAGAGCGTTGGAGTCTCCATGCCTGGGCAGGAGACGTGGAAGCGTCTGGGTGGGCAGCCTTCACGTGGGATGCATGGATCCAGGCGGCGATACCGTCAACTTTCAGTGCTGTAGGCATTGTCAGGAGTACCGTATACGGTCCCTTCCAGCGAGGCTCGAGGTTTTTGGTTTGGTGTCTCTGGACCCAGACTGAGTCTCCGATTTGGAACTGGTGAGGCACTGTTTGCGTATCAGTGGCATCCCGGTATGCGGCTGCTAAGGGCTTCCAAACTTCTTTCTGCATGATCTGCAGGGCCTGCAGGTGTGCTTGTAGAGAGGGGGAATTAGCATAGTCCGAAATATCAGAATCAAAGAAAGTGATGGCTGGGGGTGGAGCCCCATATAGAATTTCAAAAGCTGTAAGGCCATGAGAGCCTGGGGTGTTCCTGGCTCGATACAGAGCCAGGAGTAGGAGTTGCACCCAATCCTTTGAGCCAGTTGCTAGCGTTAATTTAGATAAGACCTCCTTAATTGTTCTATTCATACGTTCTACCTGACCTGAGCTCTGGGGTCTATATGCACAGTGTAATTTCCAATCAATTCCCAGTATCTTGGCCACCTGCTGACTCATCTGGGAGACAAAGGCCGACCCATTGTCTGATCCTATTACCTGAGGCACCCCATATCGGGGAAAGATTTCTTCTAATAGTTTCTTGGTGACCACCTTTGCAGTCTCATGTTTGGTGGGGTAGGCCTCTACCCACCCAGAGAAGGTATCTATAAAAACTAAGAGATATTTGTAGCCATACATGCCAGGCTTAATTTCAGTAAAGTCCTGTATGTCCTGGAGACAGAGCCACTGGATGCAACAGCAAGAGGGTTCTTTATTGCTCACAGAGGCGCCTGCGGATGCTGCAGCACTTCGGGAGGCTGAGCATACCGGGCTGGATTTTAGTACAGCTTATATGGGGTTAGGGGAGGTAGAAGTGGGCTTTATTTGCATATGAAGTCCTGTGGACCTTGCAAGAGCTGCTCTCAATCAGGTCCGGCAGGCTTGATATGCAAATGAGGTAGAAGGCGAGAGTACAGCCGATAGGGTACTCGTCTTGGTGATGTCACAGCTTTTGAATTTTGTGCTCTTAGAAAGGGCACGGTTACAGGAGTGCGGCGGGGGTCTTTCACTTCCTATCACCCCTTAATTTGGCTGCAAGTCTGAGCAATCAGAAACTAAACCCTAGGGAAATTTTTAGTATGCTTATGTATGGCAGTCTGCTGGGTTAGATGTAAGGAAAAGAAGGCAAGGACAAATGGCAGAAGCCAGGGGCCAGGACAGGAAACAGTCTTCAGCAAAAATGACTGGACCTCAGATGTGTCCCACCAGAGCACTGCCATTATATATGGCTGGCACCCAAATCCCAGTCCATCACCACACTGGATGGAACTTCCATAGGTCCATAGTTTCATTTTCATCTCATATTTACACAACAAATGAAACCAAGGAGGACTTAAAACTGGTAGGAAGAATAAATGTCTATAAACTGTAGCTGAATTAGAAATAAATTCCATCAAAAAACCCGTTATATGTTGGAGTTAAGATACTGGTTACTTAAATATAAGTGAGTTACACAAGAAATTCATTATTACTATATATAGATAGCCTATTTTCTAATATAAAAATGTCAATTTGAAGTAGTGATATATATGAATACTTAAAACTGAATCAGTTCATGACCCAGAACTCATAGAATTAATGTAGTCATTTGATTCCAGAAGTTTTTATATTTATACCTGGTATATGGCTATACTTTTAAATACTTTAGATTACACATGAATGAATTATAAAAGTCAAGTTACAAGTTAATTTAAGACAGCTCACCCACACACCTGTATGTAAACATGCACATGAGGACACATGCTTCCATGAATATGTACAAACATGATACATAAAAAGTATAGAACTGTGAAAAGAAGGGAAAGTTTAGTTTTGCAAAATCTACTCTGCATAATATTCCTGAGAATTCATAGTATTTTGGGCACTGTATGAGTCTGCATCTGTGGATAACTTTGTCTTCTTGGTCAAATTGACTGAAAGGAGTCTAGATTATAATTAGGATACTTCTCCTTCTCTTCCTCCTCCTCTTCTTTTGGTTTTTTGAGACAGGGTCTCTCTTTGTAACTCTGGCTGTCCTGGAACTCACTCTGTAGACTGGTCTGGTCTCAAACTCAGAGATCCACCTGCCTCTGCATTCTGAGTGCTGGGATTAAAGGCATGTACCACCACCACCCAGGTAGGATATTTCTTTTTATAGAGACACTTTTAAAAGGTTTATTTGTTTATATTCTGTATATGAGTACTCTATCTGCAGGTCAGAAGAGGGTATCAGATCCCAGTATAGATGGTTGTGAGCCACCATGTATTTGTTGGGAATTGAACTCAGGACCTCTGGAAGAGCAGCCAGTGCTCTTAACCACTGAACCATCTCTCCAGCCCTGGTCAGAGTACTTCTTTAGGTCTAGATGTGAGGGAGGTTCAGAGTCCAACCAATTTATATGTTGTGAGAGGGAATCGTAGCTAATATGAATTTAAAAGAATCTGTGAATTTATATAGTTTTTCATTGTAGTTTGATATTTTAAGTGGAGCGAGAGAAAAGAAAACCCTCTTTATAACAAGAAGACATTAGCAGTCTAGGTCTCAGTGTGAAAAAATGGAGCTAATAAAAGTTTAATATGTCCATTGCTCTCCAGATCTCTGCCACTAATTTTAATACTCATACTCCAAACCTCAGGCTATCACTGCACTGGGAGGAAACAGTGTCTTAGGTCTGTAGCCACCTGCTCACATCTCATGGTCAGATAATTCAGCAAAGGTGGGTCACAATAAGGAGGTAATGGAGGGGCTTGGGCAGTAGGACGTCAAAAGAGATTGAAGATCTGATGCCTACAAAATCAAGTGGAGTTTCAAATAAATCTCACACAAAAAGCTAAGAGTAGCTAATGCCATGTCAGGTTTAACAGGAAAAACAAAATTGTATTTCAATCTTGAGTTGCTAATTTTTATTTTTTCTACTCTTTATAACCATGTAAGACATCATTTCTATGGGAAATATCATGTCATATTCCAAATAAGGTATCACATCTTGACTTATTATGTCTGTTTTTGTCCTTAGCACATCCCTGTATGCACTGAATTCCTCGAGTGACTTAATGAGAGAAATGTAAGATATGAATGATAAGTATATATATATGTGTGTGTGTACATATGTACACACAGAGACTGATATTTGTGTTATTCATAGTCAAATACATCTATATTATTACAAGTACCCTTTTCAACTATTTCAATGTCTTCTTATAAATATTCTTTTTTTTGAATCATGTAGAAAAAGAGAACAAATCAAAAAGATGGTCTTGTGTGATGTTTGTCACCTTTAGTTACTATGTAAAAAGTTCTACATGTAATAGATAGAAGGGATCCCCAGTACAGCTAGGGGGACACAACAATGGGCTGGGAGAAGAGGCCCCAGCGGGATATTAGAACAGTCTAGAAGATCCTAGATCTTTCCCTCACCTCCAGAGCTCTGCCACCAGTGGTTATAATGTTCCAAGTGTGTGATTTCCTCAGACGGAAGCTTTGCCTCAGAACTTGCTTAGCATGTGTCTCATTCCTGCATATAGTCTGACTATGGGTCTCTGTACTTGTTCCCATCTACTGCATAAGGAAACTTTTCTGTTGATAATTGAGCAAGGCACTGACCTATGGACATAGCAGCATATCATTAGCAGTCATTTTATTGCTTTGTTCTTTTGTAGAACAGTTATATTTGGTTTTCCTTTAGGTCCCAAAGCCATCTTGTTCTTGGTCACCCAAGCAGTTTTGGGTGTGTGTTCCATCTTATGTTACAGGCATTACGTCAAATCAGATGTTGGTTGGTTACTTCCACAAGCTTTGTGCCACCATTGCCCTAACATATCTTATAGGCAGGACACCACTGTAGCTCAAAGTGTTTGCATCTGGGTTGGTGTTTACATTTATCCTTTGGAGCTTAAAGAATACCTTCTTGCACCAAAGATGCTAGCATGTAGGGGTCAAGGTTCTAGGTAGGCACCAACTTGACTTCTCCATGTTCAGTGAGTTGTGTAGGTGTTGTCTTCAGCAATGGGGCCAGTTTGTGGTTTGTAGGAAGAATACATGGAAGTTTTCAAATAACACTGCCATGTGGGTAAATATTAGTCAGTTCATAGTGCTTAGAATAATTTAAGTGAATTTGAGCTGGAAAATTATATCTGTGACATCTAATTATATGTATTTTTAAAAAAATCTTCTAGCCTTTCCCGGAATAAGTCTGTGTCACTACATGGTGATGGAACTGACAGTAAACTGTAAGATATATACTAATATTTTAACAAAATGCATTAGTAATGAATAATGGAATAAAGATGGATATAAACACATGCCATTTGTATCTTCACATATACTCAACAACAGATGCACCCATATATATATATACACACACTCAGAAGCGGAGAAAGATGTAAGATTTGGAGGCTGCTAGGTAGGAGTGGTCTCTCTAGCATGTAAATGGACCTTCCTATCATTTTGGACCAATTCAAATAAAAGAGGTACATCTCATAAAGCAATGCTTTTTCCTCCTGGCAGTGTGTTTAACACTCTTAACCACCAGCTGGAACTGTTAGGGAAATTTCCAAGTTTCTGGGTATTAGACTTTATTACCCTGAGTAAGAAAGCAGAGACTCCTGTTTGAAGTGCTGGGATAGCCGGGAACAGGAAGCAGATGAGCCTGGAAAGAACACAAGCAATGAACCCTTGATGCCTTTGTCAGTCTTCAGAGCTCAGCTACCAGGTGAAGCTGGTGCTCACAAACAAAAAGCATCATATACGGAAGAACTTTGACTCACACCTGTGAGATGCTCTCTGGCACAGTAACAACAACTGGTGGGAATAAGAGGATAAAGGAGACGCTTGGGAAACCAGATGTCAGGTGGGATAAAGGATGGAGGAGACATTTGGGAAACCAGATGTCAGGTGGGATAAGCCAGATAAGATTCTATGCACTGAACAGGATTTGAAGTAAATTCTACTATAACGTTCACACATTGGTTCAGGGTCAGTAGTAAAAACGTTAATTACTTTTCTTTTGTTTGTTTTCTTTACTGTATTTTTTTAGATGCCTTCCTATATAGCCCAGGATGAATTTGAACTTGTGATCCTCATGCCTCAGGTTCCCAAAAACTGGAACTGTAGCAGATATGCCACAACATCCAGCTACTTCTCTCTTTAAACAAGACTAAAGTATTTATTAAAATATGAAACATCATTTAAGGGAATGTGATGTACTAGGTTATAAACAGTTGGTTTACACCACGTTTTGTTTTGTTACATTGCTAGGACCTTTGCACATGTTAGGCAGGTGCATTTCCCATGGAACTACAGCATCTGACCTATATATGAAAAATCTTAAGTTCAAAAGTTTATAGATGGAAAGACAATTATAATCATTAGATTGTAATTAACCTGAACTTATTTGAGTTTTTTTTAAAATCCTTTAGCACAAATTCAAGCGGATTGAAAACAGCGTGCTCAACTGTGTCCACCAGTATACTGTAAGATATAAATAAATTAATATCCTTTTCTGTGCACTTCTCCTCTCTGTGTATACCAGTCCTTCCAGAATAACATGTAGCGTTTGATAATGGGGTGTGTACTGTCAGGACCATGCAAGGGAACACAGCTCTGTCATGGTGACCAAAGGGGGGCCCCTCAATATTATTCATCATTTTCACTCTTAGTTACTAGCAGCCAAAACCCACAGAAAATATTAGAATGTCTGTGTGTGATGGAATAGTGGAGTAGGCCAAGAGTAGAGAAATACCCATTTTGAAGTAAAAAGGAGGTCACAGTGGGCAGGAAACAGAGACACTCTCAGACGATATAAAAGAAACTAATAAACCACAGCTATATCCTTCACTCTTCTGAGCTCTTCCCACATGAGACCAGTGCCACAGTCCACAGTTACCATCATTTTTAAAGGTCTTCTGTCTCAGGTTTGCAGTTACTGCTTTATCTGAGGGACAGAAAGAACCTCAACTTGTGAAAGACCCAGCGATGGTGGATGCGATTGACATTCATCAAAGAAGGTGTCCTAACACACATGGGTACCTAAGGACTAAAGTAGATTCTTGATCGGTACAACCTTTATAAAATGCCAGTGATGTTCTTTGCAAAATTAAAAAGGTGAGCCTGAAATAAGCATGGAAGCACAAAGGATCCTAGAGAGCTAAAGCCAGCCTAAGCACAAAGAGCAAAGCTAGAGGCATTCCAGAGAATCAGATTCCAAGACAGATGGCAAAGCATAGCACATGGCCACAGTAATGCAACATAGAGTTGCCATAAAATAGTGCATAGACCCGTGGAGCAGAGTAAAAACCCGGTGACAACCCACATGTTATAAATAGCTGATTTGCAACAAAGGTGCCAGAAAACCAATTTTGGAATGAGGACTGCCTCTCCAACAAATCATGCTGAGGAAACTGGGCATAACCATGCAGAAGATTGAGACTAGATTTCTCTCTCTCACCCTGCACAAAAAACAACTCAAAATGTAGCGAGGACCTTCATCAAGGCCAGAAACTACCATTGGTACAGATGATGATTATCTGTAGAAGGCCCCCCAAAAGCACAGAAAACAAACATGAAATTTGACAAAGACTATGTAAAAACGAAAAGCTTCTGGAATGAGCAAGATTGCCAGCAGGAAAAGCACAGTTGCCAAACCTGAGCCCTGCAAGGTTGAAGAAGAGAACTCCTTTACATAAACTGTGTTCTGATCTCCACTCACGCACAATTTTAAAAAGTCTTAAAGCTTCTTCCAAATAATGAAATAATAGAGAGAAGACAGTGTACAGATGGAAGGAAATGTTTCTCGACCATTCATCTGACAGACGTCAATACTGAGAATATATAAAAGACCCAAGAAATAACACCAGTAACATCAGTTTAAAAATGGCAAACAATCTGAAGAGATCCCTTGGCCTACACACAGGAAACAAAGTGAACATATAATGAAGATATTCACATATTCATGTGTATTACTGCTCTATTCTCAATAGCCAAGATATACATTGAGCCTAAGTATATAGCAGGAGAGAAATGAAGGAAGAAAATGCAATATATGGATAGAGTGAAATATTGTTAAACCTAAAAGAATGACATTTTTCATTCCCAGTAAGATGAATGGAACTGGATGACATTGTATTGAGTGAAGTAGAGTAGGTACTGAAAGACAAAGATCACATAATTTCTCTTATATGTGAGGAAAAGCAAGAGTTGATTTGAAAGCAGAATATGGTAGTTATAGGGACTGAGAAGGTTACCAGGAAATGGTTGAATGGAGGTTGGATGGACATGCTGAAAGTATTCTGTAATTCCATATGGGAGCTGGGTGTTGGTGGCGCACACCTTTAATCCCAGCACTTGAGAGGCAGAGGCAGGAGGATCTCTGTGAGTTTGAGGCTAGCCTGATCTACAGAGTAAGTGTCAGAATAGTCTCCAAAGCTACACAGAGAAACCCTATCTTGGGAAAAAAGTCTGTGTGGGAATATCAGTAATGCATGTTAGTTAAAAATGGACCTAAAAATTGAACCCTAATGTATATCCAGCTATGAAATACTGTTTTCCACTGGGGTTAATTTCAGTTTGAAAGAACAGTGCTTAAACCTTTGCCATTTTGGTATATTAAGGCTTAATCTTTTCCATTAAATTATTAAAAGTTAACAAGTTCATGAATGTCAAACAGTAATTATAGCCAATTTGAACAAAAAATTATAAAATCATGTGCTGACTCTATTTTAAAAAAACTGTTTTAGCATTGCCTCATCTGATGTAACATCAGACTTCCAGGAAGAAGACATCAACGAATGGTAAGACCTAAAAATACATATATATATATGTGTATATGTAAATATATATTTCTATGTATTGGGATGCACCAGAAAAGAAAGATAGTGAGACTTGTGGAGTTCGTTAGGAGTATCAATGACAATATAGATTATGATGTTATTTTTTAAAGTCTTCTTACTGTAGTATCTGTAGGTATCTTTCTGTCTTAATTGAATGTAAGGAGAAATGCTTACAAGAGTGCTTTGAACTTCTCATGTGTTGACCACCTGTGTGACACCACTAGACTGAGAGAGAGACAGAGACACAGACAGAGACACAGAGACAAGCCCTATTTGGAGCAAGAAGGGAGGTGACAGGTAAGGAGGAAGAAAGTGGAACCCTAAGCAGAGTAGGATCAAATTAATAGCCGTTAAACCTGTTCCTCACCCTTCAGAGCTCTGCCTGTACATGATACTGGTGTCTCAAACCCATAGCCATTATTGCAGTGGAGTCCTTTTCTCAGACTTCATCTATTTTAATACTATGCAAGGGCAAGAAAAGTGTCCAGAGGGAACAAAAAGTACAGAGTGGTGGAAAGACTTGCAAATCATGAAATTAGAAAGGGCAACATTTTTGACTAACTACACTTCCAAGCTGAATTTTGAAATAAATGTAACCTCCAAAATGGCACTACAGATAGGTTTAGATGTAGTAATAAAAATTGCACTTTAATCCTGATTCATTAGGTTATTTTATAAGGCTACAAGTTGTCTTTATAGTATACAAGGGTTAATTTAGGTAAAATTATATACCAGTTTCCAAACAACTAACAGGCATACAAGTTTTTAGTGTTTAAGAAATTTATAAACTGTAGGGAAATTGTGCATATTTCAATGCAAAATAGGTCTTTGAATTCACTCAGACCTTAGATGAATATTTTAAATCTTCAGTACTGACTTGAATACAATGATGTCAGTAATCTTTGACTCAAGGGGTTCTAGTTCAAATAATTTTTTTATATATACTGTTAAACATAGCAATCTCTAATGACATATCTTTGAATTTGTTGGTGCTAAAGCAAGTTAAAACAGTTCTCCACGATGTATGATGCTGATGAATGTATTGATATTCGCAAGACATATTGGTAAGTGAGTTTGATATTTGATGGAAGGGAAAGAGTCATTGATGGATCTCTTGTCTTTGGGAAAACATAGCATGTAATGTGGCAAAAATAATAAAAGAGAAATGTGGAAAATAACTCAATAATAACCAGTTGAATTTATAGACAAGTACTATGCTTGGGAAGACATTTTTGTCTACTCCCAGTTTTCCCAGTTTAAAAATTGATAATTTTGTTCCTTGGTAGTAATTTTATTGCTACCAATAAACATTGGTCTTTCCTAATTTTCCTGAATATCTTCTGATTTCCAGTTTATAGACCTTTGTCTATGAGAAATGGTAATGAAAAGGAGCATATTTTGGTAATAAAAGATGTATTTTATTGATTTTTAATTTATTTCTGAATAATATTACGTGAGATACTTCTTATTGCACATATCTAATAGCATTTATATGTGTTCTCTATAAAAAAAATATGCTCTTAAAATCATTTGTGTCTGAATTATAGATATATTGAGAATTCTGCTCTATTGTCTAGTCATTCATTGGTAAATAAGGATAAGTTGACTTCTTTTTCTTGTTCATAGACCTGTAATTTCCTTCTCCTGCCTTGTTGCTGGGGCTAGTGCTTCCAGCACTGTATTGTGGGGATAACTGGCAGGCCTGTGTCATCTTGATTTTAATGAAATTGCTTTGGGTTTTTCTTAATTTAGGAGATTGTGGCTGTGGGTTTGCCATGTATAGCTTTCATTATGTTGAAGATCATTACCTCTAGTTCTACTTCTCTAGGGATTTTATCATGAAGCATGTTGGGTTTCTCCAAAGGCTGTTTTTACATCCCTTGAAATAACCATATTATTTTTCTTAGTTATTTGTATGATTTACTATATTTAATGACATGGATGTTGGACCAACAGTGTATTCCAGGATTAAGCCAAATTTGTCATGGAAAATGATTTTGTAAGCATGCATTTTTATTCAGTGTGCTAGTATTTCACTGTAGATTTTTGTATCTATGTTTATAAGGAATATCTCCCTGTAGTTTTGTTATATCTTTACCTGACTTGGGTGTTAGAAACATACTGGCTTTACAGAAAGAGTTTGGGAGTGCTCCTTTAGTTTGTATTTTTAAAAAGGAACCCATTATTTTGTTGCTAGTGCAGTAAGGTATCTCCAAGTTTTATGTCTTGCCCGAGATCCTAATTTGCTAATAGAAGAGCTGACATCAGAACACTTTTTAAAAACTACCCTTTTCCATCTCCATGCCATGATGCTTTATTTGGTTGGTCCCAGGCTTAATGTTCCCTTAAAGCTGGATGTGGAACTTTACATGCAAAGATACGTTACTAAATATCCATAGCATGGTGTTTTATTCATATATATCCTAGATAGGAACACAAAAAAGCAAAAGTGTAAACATTTTAATTTCTAGCATAGAACATTTTGGTATACATTTTTGAGTACTTTTATTTAAAATTTATACTCATGAAGAGATTTTGTTTTGCTAAATTCATAATACATGTTAGGAGGAATATGTGATTGATTTAATTGTATTAACTTTTACAGCAACACAGTTAAGAAAATAGTGGTTTTCCTTGTGTCATCAGTTGCCTTCAGGTATGTGAGGATCTTGAAATGAAAGTAATGAAATATTTATTACATTTAATTTTAAAAGTTTAATGAGAAATGACCTTCAAAAAGCAAGAGAGAACAAAATAAAAGATTGTCAAAGTGTTGATAATTAGTTCATGTATCTACACTTAATGTAATCTAGTCTATCTTGGAAGTTTAGTTAAGACTGAACAGTAAGATGCACAAAGAAATAACCTTTCCGCAAATCTAATAGTGTTTTTCTGCCTCTAAATGTAAAAGTAAGAAAGTATACATTTGCTAACTTCCAAGTTTGATATTTTAACTGGATTGATAGTTGTTTAAAAACACACTTTAATGTAGAGTTGTTTCATCTTTGTAGTTTAGGGAAATAATTTATAAGGAGTTTTTAGAGACTATGCAAGAAAAGGCTTAGGGACAGTTGAGTTCAATTAACCATGCAATGTGTATGGAATTGAATTCTTTCTTTCTCATATATCTGTCCTGTATGCAGGACCCAAGCATAAGCCTATGAATATGCAGTCATATATTTACTGGTTAGAGTGGGTTTTTTTTTCGCTTTTGATTCTTTTTGTTGCTAAAGTCTTAAACTTATTCAGACTAATGTGATTTTGTTTATTATGAGAGATTTGTAAAAGCTCTTTATGAGTTCTGGGCATTTAAAGTGTTTACACCAGGAAGCTTGTGACTTTAGATTTGTTGTTGTAGCTTGTAGTGCTAAAGAGACATCCCTGCTGTAGGAAGTGTGTTTGGGGTGCTTGGTGCAGACTTTTACCACTGCTTTTATTGGGTGGAAATGGAGCACTTTCTTAGGATGCTAAAGCAGCGCTTTTCTTTCTGGCATAGAACAGTTTAGCTCTAAATGAGGACTTGGTGGTGGGTGACATCTGAACATTGGCTTTAATATTGTGTCACTATGAAGGCAACACCTCCACTCTCTTGGTTTATTAATTTTAGAATATTTGGAATTATGCTGATGTTTGTGGATATAATTTTTGTGGCTATAGATCTCCATCTCATTGAAAAAAAACTTAGTATTCCTCTGGAATATCGCTCGGTTTCTTTTGCTATCGCTTTGTTTTTCCTCGTGGATGTTCTTCTTCGAGTGTATGTAGAAGGGTAAGTGTGATTCTATTTATTTATCTTAAAAAGCATAAAGCCATTTTTTTGCAGTGATGTAAGAAGTTTCCTGTAAGAATTGTCAGATCCACTCAACCAAATTATCTGTCTTCAACTCCATCAAAGACCACAGAAGGATAATATATAAACACTAGAATTGACAGAGACATCTTGATACCCTAAGTTACTCTATAATGTATAGGCATCAATCTTCAGCCTATAGACCACAGTGTGTCTGGAAGACTTCTCAGCAAAGCAGGAAATTTTAAACTGTCTGCCTACATTAGCAGTTTGTCAGTCATTTTTCTGTGTCCTGCAGAATGTCTGGCAGACTCTTTCATGAAACAGGAACCCTTCAGGACTGTCTGTCTTGTTTTGTAAGTTCAGCAGTCACTTTCCTGTGGATCCTACATGTCCAGATTATACTACAACAATCAAACAGTCCAGGCAAGAACAGGTTCTTGCCCAAATGGCTAGTCTTGTCATGTCAAAGGCAAACTCCATAATGAGTTTCTGCAATGCCCATTCTCCTTTCTGACATAATTGGTGTCCCAGGAGAAGTTGTGTCTGTCATGAAAAACCCTAAACCATTTTAAATGTCATTTTCTGAAGGTCTTTGAAAGTTTTGAAGAACGTCCATCTCAAATCCATCTCTGTATATCTAGAAAACCTAACTAACCTAACTATAAATTCTGACTATTATAGGTGACTATATACAATCTGTATTTAATTATGCATTACATTTTAAAAGATCAGTATAAACACAATACTTAACCAAGAGGAAAAATATACATGTCACAAAATTGACTTTAAATTCGTATCAATAAATAAAAATCCATTCCCAGACAAAGTATTCATTTCTGTATCATAATCTCCCTTTACCTTTAAAAAATGATTGTTTGTGACCATTAACCATTTATAACCAACCCCATTTAAATGAAAACAAAAAATTTATAAATCATATTTGGGAATTTGGGTATTGTTCATTCCAAACTGCTTCCTGTTGGTTAGGGGGCACTGTCCATACTATGGGAATCATGACTAAGTCCCTGTTTTGGTAGTCTGCAAGGCTACATTATCTCAGCTGTTTTAGATGTTGGATCACTTGGGACACTGTTTCTGGGGGTCTTGCTTCATCAAACCACACTAGTATGGAAGGAATCCATAGCTTTACAATTTCTGTGGAAACACAAGCAAAAACTCTTTTCCCAAGTAATCTGTCCTTATATTTAAATTTAGAAGTCAAAGAATTTTTAAAATATATAAGTTGGATTAATTTGGCAACATGGATAATCAAATGTCTTTTAGAATTTGTTGTTCTTCCCCAGCAATTAAACAATTCAAAGACAACACAATAGCATACAGTATCCAGACTCTGTGTATTTTCCATCTTTACATGACTTTTTTATACATCTATTTATTATTATCCCTCTATTATTTCTCTTATTTTTTACTTTTTTTTTGGTTTTTACCAGACAGGGTTTCTCTGTATTGTTTTGGAGGCTATCAGTCCAGCCCAGCCTCAAACTCACAGAGATCCACCTGCCTCTGCCTCCCGAGTGCTGGGATTAAAGGCATGTGCCACCACCGCCAGGCATACTTTTTTCTTTTTTGAGACAGGGTTTCTCTGTGTACTTTGGCTGCCCTTGAACTCCCTCTGTATACCAGACTGGCCTTGAAATCACAGAGATCTGGTTACCTCTGCCTCCTGAGTGCTGGGATTAAAGGCATGTGCTACCACACTCAGCTACTCTTCTTTCTTTTTTTTTCTACCACTATCCTGTTTCTTTTTCTATCCCAAGCCTACATATATTTTTAAACACACTGTAAACCTTTTAGAGGTTTTACTTCATCTGAATCTGGCTTTACTGTAAATCTTCATGTTTTTCTGGCCACATGTCTTTTATCTGTTAAACAACATTGCTAAAATGAAAGCCGTGACTGTTTTAGCTGCTGGCTTTCCAACATGGCGGGTGTAAGTTTATTGCCTTGCCAGCACTGGTTGAGCAAGTCTCTGCTTGTCTCTAGCAAAACAGAGCCCACCCAAGAAAATGCTGCTACCAAGAAGCCATGCTTGTCTCTGCTCTTTTGTTTCTAAAAGCCCTTTTAAGCTTTTGTTAGATTTACGTGGAAATTCTTGCCCCACATTGAGGACACCACATGTAACGAGTACCCTACCTTCCACCCTGGTCCCAGATCCTCATCAACCCCAAATAATACACAGAGACTCTATTAGTTACAATTCTGTCAGCCAAAGTCCAGGGATTCTCATTGGCTAGTTCTGTCTTAAGTATTAATATATATACATATATGTATAATTAGTAATTATGGATATATATATATATATTTCTATAAGGTCTCATCTTACCAAGAATTCTAGCCTCATCTGTCCTCTCTTCCCAGAAACACATGGTAACCCTCTACTCTTGACTACATTTCCCAAAATCCTCCTCGACTCCCAGTCCCACATATCTTGCTTCCCCATTGGCCAACAGTGCTTTATTTATCAACCAATAAGACAAACATATATACAGAATGACTTCCCCCATCACATTACCATTCCAAAATTCAGGGAAAGTAGCATAATGAGGAAATACTGGACCAAAGCAAGACAGAAAACAAGCTGGACATACTCTAAACTCTGCATCTTCATGTCTAATGTTGAAACACTTCAGATTTCCAACTCTGTTCAGCTTTGTTGACTGCAACACATTTCTTTCTCTGGGGCTATTTCCACTCCCTGTTAGCAGCTTTCCTCAGAATCCCACAACTCTTGCATCTCCTAGACAATCCAGGCTTCAACTTCACAACTTCACAAAATGACCTCTGTAGGCCTTCGTTGTTCAGTGGCACCCCTGCCTGTCATCATCAGTTTTCTTTAGGTGTGGAGGTAAATTCTATAACCCATTTCTTCTATCCTTAACTCTAAAGCCAGAACCACATGGCTGATGCTGCCAAGTTTTGCTGCTTGCTAGACCTGGGACATGGCCGCCTTATTAAATTGCATCTTCACTGGTTTTCTGTCCTTCACTGCCTATGCTTGGCTGTCCTGAAACTGTATCTCTAGTCAATGTTGTCCGCAAACACAGAAACCCATCAATCTTTGTCTTCCAAGTGCTGGGAATAAAGGCATGCTCCACCACTCCTGGTTCTAAGTTTTTTTCTAGCTACTTTTCACAAGTTGGAAATTTAGCTTGGTGGGATCTTGCCCTGAGGTCACCACTCCCTTTATTCCATTTCTTAATATAATTTATCTCCTTGAACACAGGATTTAGCTCCATTCCACTTTCTGGTACTCCCTTTCTCCTGAAAATTTATATTTTTAATTTACCCTGCTCAGCTTTCACCTTTTCATCATAAATATTCATTAGAGTCACCATTAATAACCACACAACAGTCTATACTAGGCTCTTGAGATTGAGATTTCTTCTGCCAACGGAATTAATCCAAAACTCTTCACTTTAGCCTCAGGCAGATTCTTTGGATCAAAATATCACAAGACTGGTGTTATAATAAACTTGTGGGTAACCTTGGCTGATTTCATGGCAGGCAAGGGTGACCCAGGTGGAGGGACAAACATGCCAGGCAGACAGAGCATAAGTGTAAACTTTTATTAGAAAGGGGAGGGAAGGGGGAAGGAAAGAGAAAATAATTAAAAAGATACGGAAACAGAGAGACAGGGAGAAGACAGAAGAGAAGAGGGATACAGGAAAAGTCCTGTCTGCCTCAGAGGAACAGCAGGAAAGAGAGAGGGAAAGAGATCATAAGTGGGCATATAGGTCTGTCTTTTAAAGGGGTCGTTTGCACCTGCATGCAGGCTACACAACCATGGAACCCTGGGCTGACCAAGATACTGCCTGAATGCATTCTGCCAGGGGACAGGGGCAGGCCAGCATAATGCCAAAATCCTTACAACTAGTCTCTAGGTCACATACTAACATTCTTCTTATCTGAAACCTCTTGATTCCACAGTTCATCAAATCACTTTCAGCACCACTGTCTTCCGTGCTCCTACTAATATGGCCCATTAAGCATTGCTTAAAGCCTTCCACTGTTTTCCTAACCCAAACTCCCAAAGCCCATATTTCTATAAACAAAAACATGGTCAGGCCTATCACAGCAATACCCCAGTCCCTGGTACCAACTAGGTCTTAGGGTTTTTATTGCTGTGAAGAGTCACTATGACCACAGCAACTCTTATAAAGAAAACGTTTGATTGGGGTGCCTTGCTTACAGTTTCAGAGGTTCAGTCCGTTGTCATCATGGTGGGGAATGTGGCTACATCTTGGCTTGCAGGCAACAGAAAGTCCACTGAGACACTGGGCAGTATCCTGAGCATAGGAAAATCACCTCTACAGTGACACACTTCCTCCAACAAGGCCATACCCACTCCAACAAAGCCACACCTCCTCATAGTGCCAGTCCCTATGAGAATATGGAGGCCAATTACATTCAAACTACCATAGTTATGTACAAATGCTAATAGTGATTGACTTGAATTCCAAAATGGATTTGATGACACACTAAACAATACTTCATAAATATTTCATCTTTCAGTGGAAATTGCAAAATGTTAGTTATAGTTCAGTACAGAAGTGTTCAGAGGCACCTTCTTTCCATCAACAACACCACAGTGAAACAGACCTTGATCTTTCCTTTCTGATTTTCTAAGCAGGTGGGTGGGTGAGCCATGCCTTGATGTTAGATTGCTCTGTCCTCCAGCTTCATTTTATTCTCAGAGCATCTCAGAGTGTAGTTTCTCACCTCTCCTAAGAGATTTTTTTTATCCTGGTGCCCCTTTTTGATCTAGGGATAGTTGTCCACTGCCTGGTTTCTCAGAGTCTAAAAAGGGCTCTATAACCATTTTCTTCAGTGGTGTAGCTATTGGTAAGATGCCCACGCTTCTCTAAATAATCCCTCACTGATAATCCTCTAAGGAACCCTATAGAACTCAGACTCAAAGCAGATACATAAACTAGAGTCATCTGAGAGGAGGGGACCTCAATTAAGAAACATCAGCCATAAGAATTAGCTGTAGGGTATTTTCTTAATTAGTGGTTGATGTGAGAAGGCCCAGCCCATTGTGGGTGGTACCATTCCTGGGCTGGTGGTCCTGAGTTTTTAAGAGAGCAGGCTAAGCAAGCTATGGGGAACAAGCCAGTCAGTAGCACCCCTCCATGGCCTCTGCATCAGCTTCTGCCTCCAAGTTCCTGCTTTGCATGAGTTCCTGTCCTGACTTCCTTTGATGATGAACTGTGATATTGAAGTGTAAGCCTAATAAACTCTTTCCTCCCAAACTTACTTTTTGGTAATGGTATTTCGTTGCAGCAACAGAAATCATAAATAAGACAATTGGAAAGCATCCATCTAAAATTAGATGCCATCTCACATCAGAAGAAAGTTTCTCTAGAAGACCACTGATCACATATGAAGAAAGGAAATCTGCTTTTGCCCTGGGCAGACCATATCAGTTCACTGAAACCCCAGGATGCATGCAAAGATCATGCGTTTGAAATAATGGAGCCCTCTCCCTATATAATAAGTTCCTTTTATACACTTTCACAATCCCAGTTTCTCTAAATTCCATATTCAGCTTTGTTTGCTCGCCAGCAATGCAAAGTGTCTACTTCCTTACCTACAAAAGAGAAGGAAGTGCTTGCCTTTTACTCAGTTTTTTTCCTTCTGTCTCTTACTGATCAACTGTGAATTGCTATCTTGACACTTTAGATAGACAGGTGACAGATAGACAAATAAACAGATGATAGATGATAAACAGATGATAGATGACAGACAGATGATAGAAAGATACACATATTGATAGATAGATAGATGATAGATAGATGATGGATGGATGCCTGCATAAATATAAATTTAGCATTTGAAAACTTTCTATTGATGTTATACTTTCCCCGTAATCCAGTAGTTTTGACAGTGCATTTTAAACACATTAAGATTGGACTGTCTTTTTATTTTGGTGAACTAGTTAGTTTATCGAGATAACTTTACAGGAGCATGAACAGCTTGGGCAGCTCTACCCCATGATAGATGATAACTCTCAGAAGCATCAAGGCCAGGTCTCAACTTCAGCTGACCTTCACACCCCACAAAACACATGTGCTTGGGACAGAATTATATGCAGGTGACAGGGTGGGGACCAGGAACCAGTAAGTGGATAGGATGTCAGGTGAGGTTAGGATAACCCACCTACTTCCTGAGACTACCAATAGGGCTGAAGATAGAACTCTTCATGAAGATGAGTTGAATAACATGTGCTCTGAAACTCTCCCATCTTTCCGCTCCAGGAGACAGTTTTTTTCTGATTTGCTGAACACCATATATGCCGTTGTTATTGGTGTGACTCTGTTCATTGCCTTCACTTACATATCTTATGACAAGAATTTTCTTAGAGATACCCCAAGGTATGAAACATATGGCTTAACTCTAAAAACTCTTTTTTAAATATAATTTATTTATTTTTATTTTCGTTGGTGTTTTTAGGACATGTATGCTTGTGTGAGGGTGTCAGACTTGTGGTTACACATAGTTGTGAGCTGCCATGTGGGTGCTTAGAATTGAACCCAGGTCCTCTGGAAGAGCAGTCAGTGCTCTTAACCTCTGAGACATCTCTCCAGTCCCCCTCTTTTGTTTCTTTTGTTCTTTTGGGTTATTGGTTTCCTTTGTTTTGTTGCATTTCCCCTGATTTTAGTAATATTTTAACTCAACTCTCTTGACTGTGCCAGTGAAATGTTTATATAAATTTCCATGAATTTTGAAACTAAAACAGTGTTGGCATTTAGGGGTCCATTGAGAATATACATACTAAGAACCTTTAGCTAAATAAGAGAGAACATACAAAGGGTAGTAAACTAGACTTAACTCCTCTTAAATCAACTTTAACGTCAGAATGTTATAAAATTATCCATAAATTCCCATTTGTATTTCAATCCCAAATACCTTAGATATAAAGTTCGGCAGTCCTGGCATTTCCCTATAATCAAGAGAACATTAAAATTTCATTGACTCTCTAAAGAGTAGTAAACATAGCACGAGACCAGGGGGTAATGTGGGCAGCCACAAAGAGGAAGCTTTTTCCCTTTTCTCCGTGATTTCTATGCTTTTTCTCTTTATCCACCCCCCCCTCATTTTTACTGTGGCAATGTAGAAAAGAAAGATATGTGTCTAAAGATGGGGGGCAAATTTATTCATTTGTGAAATAACTGGTTTCTTTCTGTACCCAAACTTCCTAGGACTTCAGTCTAGAATCCAACTAATTAGTTGTGTGTTGAAAGCAACCCGAGCAGCCTCTCAGTTGTCATGTTAGAACCACTGAATTAGTGGCTTGGAGCCTGCTACCCCATTGATTTTTATCATTTTAAAAAGACTTACTTATTTTTCTTATGGGTATGGGTGTTGTGCCTGCATCTGTGTATATGTACCATATGTGGGCAGTGCCTGAAGAGACCAGAGAAGGGCACCGGATCCCCTGAAACTGGACTTGCAAATGGTTGTGAGCTGCCATGTGGGTGCTGGGAACCAGACCCATGTCCTCTGCAAGAGCAACAAGTACTCTTTACCACTGAGTTTCCCCTTCACTCCATACCCCATGCTTTAAAGAACTTTACAGAGCTCTTCCAGGTGGCTGGTTCATGTGGTTTCAAATTAAAGACCCAGCATTTCAGAACAGTAGTTCTCTACCTTGGTGTATTTTATGGTAAGAGAAATGCCAGTTAGTATACTTGGTTAGTATTCCAGTCTGTTTCCTGATGTGTCTGTCTTCATCAGTAGTAGTGATTCCCTGTTTGCAATATAAATAACACTGGCAATGTTTTGATGAACATACATGCACGCGCTCGCGTGCGCGCGCTTGCACACACACACACACACACACACACACACAGAGAGAGAGAGAGAGAGAGAGAGAGAGAGAGAGAGAGAGAAAGGTAGGAAGGAAGAAAGAAAGAAAGAAAGAAAGAAGGAAAGAAAGAAGAGAAAAAGAAAAGAAAAAAACTCTTGATATTGAACCACAAATTCTGAGTCTGTTTTTCCCAAACTTATTTCCCAAGCATTATTGACATTTTAGGTCAGATAATTCTTGGAAAAGATGCCATTCATGGTGAAGTGTTCACCAGTACTCCTAGTCTGTTTCCACTCTATAGTAGCAACACCCACATAACAGTATGACACTCAAAAGTATCTCTAGACATCGACATCTCTAGACAGACACAGATGCAGACGCAGACACAGACACAGACACAGACACAGAGACACAGACACAGACATAGACATCTACATAGGGGTAAAACAGCATTGTCCTGACCAAGAACCACTCTTCCAAACTGAATACAGAGCCACAAGAATGACTCAATTAGAGCAACTTGCCGGTCATGCTCAGGGCCTTGGACTTGACCCACAGCACCACCAAAAATAAATAAATATGAAAGTGTTAGGCTTATCCATAGTAAAAATCATTCGTGTTTTTTTCCTAGCAAAAAATGGGTATTTAAACTTTTAATCTATAAATTTGCTTAGATTGGCAGTTTTATTCCCACCTCTGTGGCTTCTCATTCTGGTAAGAATTTTCCAGCTGGCTCATGAGAAAAGATACCTTGAAAAGCTGACTAGGCGGCTGGTGAGTGGCACCATACATCTGTCTCATGTTTCAAGTTGTAGATCTGTATATTATATTCTTTCTCCTGTTGATTGATGTTTCCCAACTTTATGACTTTCCAAATCAGGTTTCAGGAAACAAGAGACGATACAATAAAGATGGGTTTGACCTGGACCTCACTTACGTTACTGGTTCGTGAAACTTACCTGTTGATATTGTTTATAAAAATTCTGCATTTTGTGTGTGAGTGATATATGCTCCATGCTCTTTTATTTCTGCCATGTTATTTCAAAGCATTCTTATATAGGAGTACACATGCTATTGTGGTGGTATGACCTTTGCAATGGAAGTATCTACTTATGTCACTTCAAAACAGAGCTACTTGGTTGTAGTACAGAAGGTGGGGTGGGTTATTTTTAGTTGGAGTTTCATTTATTCAGCTCTAGTGGTTAACCTCGGTCCCAAGGATCCCAGGAGACTTTTCAATCATCTTACAACCCTAGAAATGAGGTTTCCACTCTTGCTGGTTTATGGTTTCCTGAGTCAAGTGGACTGGACAGCACTCTGGAAGTCCCTGCATATACTGGAGTTCAGGCTGTTTTCTTTTGTTTGTTAAAAGAAAATAACTTTTTACTCACACTGAGGGAGCTTCAGGTTTAAGCCGATAAAAATCTGTGGCCCATGGATAAACCAATTGAGTCTTATGATCACTGTGCCAGTTTCATGGTTATTATTATATTGGATAATTTAATGTATAAGTATCATTTTGATTATTCTGAGAATGTGTTTTAATTTTCTGTCCTGAATGTTACTTTTATTTTTAAAAAGGAGTTTCGTTATATGTAAATGAAATTTTTGTATGTTGTGCTATCTCTATTATGATATTCATCATAGCCATGACTTTGACTTCCAGAGCGTATTATTGCCATGTCGTTTCCATCAACTGGAGGGCAGTCTTTCTATAGAAATCCAATTAAGGTAAGGGTGTTCCCATAGCAAGTGCTCAGTGCTAAATACTAGCAATGTCAATATACTTCTAAATGCTAATCTTTCAGTGAAAACTCATGTTTGACTGTCATCAATGTGTTATTTATAAACTACTGTAAAATTTTCCTGGCTTATAAGCACTATTTTTTATATTTTTTGTTGTGATCCTAGCCTTTAATGACTGAGCCATCTCTCTAGTCCTAACCAGTGTCTTTTAAACTTGTGATACTGTGGTTTATTGACTTGTATTGGGCTTAGCTTGGCAGTTCTAGTGAATGAAGTCAGGACTGGCTATCTCAGCTGGAAATTCACGAACCTGTGAACAACTACCGAGTCATTTGAAGATTTTCCAGTTCTCAATAGATTGCTTGGTGGATCTATGTGATATCTGTTTTTAAAATAAGACTTCTGGATGGGCGGTGGTGGCACATGCCTTTAATCCCAGCACTCAGGAGGCAGAGGCAAGCAGATCTCTATGCGTTTGAGACCAGCCTGATCTACAAGAGCTAGTTGCAGGACAGCCTCCAAAGTCACAGAGAAACCCTGTCTTGGAAAAAAAAGACTTCTGTTCAGCCCAAATAGGTCAAAGTTCAGCCTTTTTGACATAATGGCAATGATAAAGATTACAAAAACACCAGCCAAATGAGACTGCCAAGCCCCTTAGGACACATGCTCAAGCCTAAAGTGATATAATTGCCTCTGCTGTTCTATTGAATCAAATAAATTACAAAGCCAGGCTTGATGAAAGGAAGGGAAAATACATTCTGTTGCTTTTTTTTTTTAAATGTATACAGTGTTTTGCCTGCATGTATGCGAGGACACCAGAAGAGGGCACCAGATCTCATTATAGATGGTTGTGAGACACCATGTAGTTGCTGGGAATTGAACTCAGGACTTTTGGAAGAGCAGCCAGTGATGTTAATCTCTGAGCCCTCTCTCCAGCCCCCAACAAGTACTTTTTTTGTTTGTTTGATTTGGTTTTTTAGAGACAGGGTTTCTCTGTAGCTTTTGGAGCCTGTCTGTGAATTAGCTCTGTAGACCAGGCCTCAAACTCACAAAGATCCACCTGTCTCTGCCTCCTGAGTACTGGGATTAAAGGTAGGCACTCCCACCACCACCACCACCTCCCACCACCCCCCACCCCTACACCCAGCTGTTCTACCTTTTGATAGTTTTCCCCGGGTATAGTAGTCTGGTTTGGCATCAATGGTCTCAGAGTTTGTAGAACATCCATCCAGACCCTTCTGACTTTTTGAGTTTCCACTGAAAAGTCAAGTGTTGTTCTAATGGGTCTATCTTGTAATTTACTTGGTCTTTTTCTCTTGAAGCTTTTAATATTCTTTCTTTGTTCTGTACATTTGGTGTTTTGATTATCATGTGTAATAGAAACCCTAATAGGTCTTAATAGTAAAAACCTGGAGTCAGATATAGGGGAAAATCCTGAAAGATCAGAGAGATGAAAGAGCAAAGCCACAGCCACTTTACCTACTAAATTCCCAGCCAAAAAGAGACCGAGTTCCTGTCTTCTCCCGCCTTATCACTTCCTCTCTCCACCCAGCCATATCACTTCTTGTCTGTCTGTACAGACCTCCAGACATCTATGGTTAGCTATTGGCTAATTCATCCCTCTGATCTTCAGGCAAGCTTTATTTGTTAGAGTATAAATAAGATCTCACCACAGTTATGTATCATGGAGAATTTCTTCTCTGGTCACATTGTATTCACTCTCAGGAAGGAGAGAGTGAACAAGTGACACTAAGATATAAAGCCTCAACACTTTCTCCCCATAGTCCACCTCCTAAAGGCTCCATAACTTTCCCAAACTGCACCACCAGGCTGGGGACCAAGTGTTTAAACATTTGAGCTTATAGGGGTATTCAATTCAAATTATGGCAGAGGATAATATGACTTTCTTTATTAGCATGTTGCATATGATGTAATATCTATATATCTTCATATTTAGGGAAGTTTCACTAGAAGATGCCAGTGAGGACCAGGTGAAGCAATAGTAACCATTTTTGGCTACCCCTGGTCTCTCCACTCTTACTTCTGGATGACACAGGATATGTAACATTTGCGTCTGTCTTTCTTTAGGAGGTTGCGCGGTTCCTTGACGCCAAGCATCCAAACCACTATCAAGTCTACAATCTATGCAGTATGTACACAACTTACTTTTTGTGTTGTCATAGGTAGAGAACAGATTGGTTTTGCTGACTCCTGTCTTACATTTCATTTATTCTTAAGTATTTAGTGGTGGGGAGTTAGAGTAAAATGTCCCATCCTGTATTGACCTTATGTGGTAGGAAAGTTAGCTCACCCAGCAGAAAGTACTCTGGGAGGGAGGCAAAGGTGGTCCTGGAAGAGCAGGCAGAGCAGAGGTGAACCAAGTTAGGAAATGTCTGTTCTAGGGTCAGGAAATCTTTATTTCCTTCTAGCTTACACTGAAGGTGTAAACATTAGCAAGTCTGCTCTCTAACCCACCTGGAGGAGGTTGTGATGAGGAGAGAGCACTGGATTAAAACAAAAATAAAAATGTAACCCTTTGATAATATTATAGCTCACTTTACCATCCTGTCTCTAGTGATTTGTTCAATGCTTGTCAGTTGGACATTTTTTAGGAACTGGCATCTCCATCATCTACATTGTCTCTGCTCTGTGCTTCCTAGCACCGATGACGATGTGTCAAGAAGTTACTAGAAAGTTAAAGGTGAAGCTTCCTTTAAAAATGAGTTTAGTTTGCCTGAGGTGAAAAGCCAAACCTTTTTGTAACTCTGAAAGATGGTTTTTAGAGCAAACAGAAAACTACTCTTGAAGACAGATTTTCTAATTGAAACTTTAAATCTGTTCATAACTATCATTTGATATGTTATTAAGCATAGATGTATGACATATTATTATTTATTTTAGGTGAGAATTCTTATGACCCGAAGTACTTTCACTACAGGGTCCGCAGGGTCATGATTGATGACCATAATGTCCCTACCCTCGAGTAAGTCTGACTCCACGTTGACAGTCAACAAAGGGTCAAATACCTTGGGCTCAGTGTGTAAGATAATTATTTTTTGGAAAAGAAATTTAATTGAATTAAAAACCTTATTTTTGAAATCAGGGAAATGTTGTTGTTCTCCAAGGAAGTAAATGACTGGCTCACTCAACATCCTGAAAACGTTGTGGCGATTCACTGTAAGGGAGGAAAAGGTAACACTGCCTTTCTTTTAATTTCCCTTTTTGAAAAGAAATATGCATGGGAACTAATGCTATTAGTCATATTAATCACTAACACCTTAAAATAATCATTTTCAAGACAAAAGAAATGTAAGGAGGAAGAGAGTGAAAGGAAGGAAGAAAAATAAGAGTTAAGGAAGGTTGGGAATATTTTCCCTTGCTTATTAAATATTTGGATTATTTTACTTTTGACAATCAATGTAAGTCTGTTAACATACCAATAATGTTTTATCTTTAGAATAGAATAATACTTTTTATTTTAAGGCTATTTTTCTTTTAATTGACAGAGATTATATATATTTATGATATGCATTATATTTTGTAGTTTTATCTTATTGTAGAGTGGCTGAATGTAACTAATCAATATATGCATCACTTTATCACACTTATGTTATTGTGGTTAACCCACTTTTCCCCGATGACTGGTGATGTTGAACATTTTTATAAACCTGTTGGCTATGACTATGTTTTCTTTTGGAAATACCTTCGAACTCTTCTTTGTTGTTGTTTTTATTGCTATTGCGGTTAATTGTTTAGAAAGAGGTTTTTTTGTTTTGTTTCTGTTTGTTTGTTTTTCCTTGAGACAGTTTGGATAATATTATCCCAGCTGGTCCTTGAACTACCAATATATTCCAGGAAGGCCTCCATCTCATGATCCTCCTGTCTCCTTCCAAACACTGATATCACAGGCATGACTACTAAACCTGTCACTGGTTTATCTTAGAAAAGAAAAGTACTCTTCTTTTTTTTCCGAGACAGGGTTTCTCTGTATTGTTCTGGAGGCTGTCCTGGAACTCGCTCTGTAGACCAGGTTGTCCTCGAACTCATAGAGATCCGCCTGCCTCCACCTCCCCAGTGCTAGGATTAAAGGCGTGCGCCACTAATGCCCGGCAGAAGTACTCTTCTTATTGAAAATTTATACACTGGATTCTGATAGTGGTTTCCCTTCTCCTATCTTCTCTCAGATCCTCTTCTCCACCCATCCAACTCTATGCCTTCTTTCTATCTTTACAAAACAAACATGTCAATTTTTAAAATTCAAAATAAAAGAAAAAATGAAAAAGAACAAGAAACACTCAAACAAAGCCCCTACAAAATTGGAAACTATAATATACAAAGACCAGTAATATAAAAATGCCTTTAATGCCAGCTGTTGGGAGGCACAACGAAAGGCCAGCCTGGTCCACAGAGTAAGTTCTGAGACAACTGGGACTACACAGAGATATCCTGTCTCAAAAATCCAAAAATAAGAAAACAAATGCCCAAACAAAGAAATATCAGACAAAAAATTACCAACAGAAAACACCACTGAGTTCATTCTGTGATGGCCATCTACTGCTAGGCACAGGTCTACCCTTAAGTGCGGTTTGTATACCCAGTGAGACACAAATGAGAGAAAACAGCATTCATTTGTCTTTCTGTTTCCAGATCCATCCATTTACCTGCTAATTTCATAATTCTGTTTTTCTTAATAAATGAATCACAGTCCATTATTCCAATATACTACATTTTCATTACCCAGTCATCAGTTGATGGCCATCTAGGCTGGTTTCATGTCCTGGCTATTGTGAATGAACATGGGTGAGCAGGTATCTCTGTAGTAGATATGGAGTCCTTCTGGTATGTGTTCCAGTGGTTTATCTAGTTCTAGAGTTCTGATCAACCTCCACTATGGCTTCCATAGTGGCTTTACCTGTTGCATTTCCACTAGCAGTGAGTAACTATTTCCCCTTCTTTACATCCAACCCAGGACGTGTTTTTTTTTCTATCTTAGCCATTACAACTTCAATAAGATGAAATCTCCAAAGTAGTTTTACTTTGCATTTACCTAATGGCTAAGGATATTGGACATTAGAAAAAAAGCATTTCTTGGCTATTCATGCTTTTTAGAGAACTCCCTTCTTAGTTCTCTGCCCTAGTTTGAGGAATGGGCTCCCTCTTTTGAAGTTGTTTCCCAATGGTGTCCCATATGCCCCCAAGCATCACTGACTATTGCCAAGGCTCTTGGTTACCCTCCAGAACTTGACAACAAGACCCTATTGATGACTATACCACATATATTAGTCATAGAACACAGAGAAGTCAAGCTGGTACTCACTTGGAAACTTCATCCCTGCTGGCTAGCTTTCATAGTGCTGGAGCATGCTATTCTGCTATTCATGCTACCAGAGGGGAAAAGCCATCCTCACTCTATCCAGCTGTCACCTTGAAAACTACAGTAACGGATAGCTGGCAAGGCATGCTTACTGCTGGGATGGGAGCAATCAACCACTTTTGGATTGAATTTTAGGTTCATTCCACAAGTTGAAACTCAGATATGACACGATGACTGGGTTGATTCTGTGATAAGATTGTCCACAGACTCTGAGAGACTGTTAAATGGGCACAGTGTTAAACCAACTCTAGTGATTTGTTGTTATACCCATTGTCAGTGCAACTCTCAACCACCAGCAGAGAAGTTTCTTTTTGTACTACATGATGATTAATATAGAGACCAATAGCTAGTCGAGTATAAAGAATGAGAGACTAAATCTAAATCACACTCCCTCTTCCCAGGGCTTGGGGATCATTGTGGAAGAGGGAAGGGGAAGATTGTAAGAGTCAGGGGCAGTGGACAGCTATAAGGAAACAGTACTTTCTGATGGAGAGAGGGAGATCCACATAGGAACTCATAGCAGTTGTGACAGTTCAAACCAGACACAGTCCCAGAATAGAGATGGGAGTTGGGCATGAGCTCCCCCTTAACTAAGGAACAATTGGCAATTGTTAGCTCCTTGGAGAGGGAGCATCAGTCTTCTTAGCAGTTTGTCCCCTGGCAAGTCATTTATGCTCCACCAGGAGGCCACCCATTCAAAAGCACATGAGCAGCACCAACGGTACATCGTGGGTTTTATTTTTTTCTTTTTGAGACTTTAATTCTTTTTCTCCCTTCCCTATCCTACTACAAACCTCCTAACTACCCCTCGCCACTTTCCTTCAAACTCATGGCCTCTTTTCTCATCATTTGTTATTGCATGCTTATATGTATTTGTGTATACATATGTCTTCCCAAATAGAACCTGTTGGGTTCATATAATGTTCCTTGTATGTATATTTCAGGGCTATTTGGTACTGAACCAACCAATTGGTGTGTTCTGCCCTAGGAATGGCCTCTTCTTTAACTCCCAGCTTTACCCAATTGCCTGTAGTTCTGTGTATAAGGTTCAGGCCTTGTGGGCTTTTCCTTCCAGTTTGGAGTGTTCATTGGTGAGCTCCTTGTTCAGCTCACATTTGGGCAGTCATGTTGGCAAGATTTTATGGGTGTAGCTTCTGGTGTCCCCAGGAGACAATCTCACACCAAACACCTGTTCCTATGGCTCCTACAATCGTCTCACCCCCTCTTCTACAATGACCCCTGAGTGGTGTGGAACTCTTTTGTAGATGTATACATTGGGACTGGTCTCCACTACTCCATATTTTAATTGGCTATGGTATTCTGCAGTGGCCTTGGTGCAATTGAATTATATGTCTTATTAAATAAAATCAATTGAGATTTTTTCACATCTTACATAGCTTAACATAGACCATCTGGAATACATATTGAATGCATTTGGTGAATTTTCCTTTAGTTTAGTTTTGTTTTTCAAGGCAGGGTTTCTCTGTGTAGCCTTTGGAGCCTGTCCTGGAACTCACTTTGTAGATTAGGCTGGCCTTGAACTCACAGAGATCTGCCTGCCTCTGCCTCCTGAGTGCTGGGATTAAATGTGTGCGCCACCACAGCCCATCTTGGAGCATTTTCTTTAGTAATTCAAAAATCCATTCTATCGATACAGCAATCCACCCATCTTATCCATGTTTCTCCTCGCCATGGTCAACTGACAGTAAGTTAGAAGTCAAAAGCCAATGAGCTTCTTCATGACCTCTTTGGGTATTTCCATTAATACAGGAATCTCTTGTCAATGGGGATGTGTTCCATTCCTCCAGTGGTTGCCCTTTTGATGCCTCAGGGATTACTGAAGCCCGTGGATACTGTACTTTTTCCTACACAACATACCCGTGAAAAGCAAATGTATAAATTAGGAGTAATAAGAATTAATAACAGTAGCTAATAAATAGAATATTTGCAGCAATATGTTATGATTAAAGCTATGTGAATGTGGTTTCTCTTAAAATACGTTGCTGTTCTGAACTCTCCCCAGTCCTGTTGGGAGATGATACGATGCCTCTGTTCTAAGATGAAGGGAGGAGAATGGCAGAGCTGTTGTGATATGGCATTAGGCTACTTTTGACCTTGTGACTTGTTGTCAACTGACCATAGATAAATGAAACCATAGCAAGGAGACAATTTTGAAAAGATGATCTGGGAAGAGCATGCCATAAAGGAAATGCTTTTCATGTAAACATAGTAGCCTGGTTCTGAGCTTCAGAACTCATGGAAAAACCAGCATGTCTGTAACCAGCATGTGCTGGGGTAGAGACACACAGATGTCTAGGGCTTGATAATAAGCTAGTGTGATCTTCAGGGCCTGGAAGTCCTTATCTCAGACAATAAGGTAGAGAGCAACAGAGGACAACATCCTCTGTCCTCCACATGCAAGAATACATACACATCACACACACACACACACACACACACACACACACACACGCACGCATGCATGCACGCACGCACGCATGCACGCACGCACGCATACACACACCACCACCACTATCACCACCATACCACATACACACACCCACACACTCACATACACCATATTATATGCACACACACCACACACTCACACACCACACACGTATACACACACACACACCTCAAATCTTTACCTCGTCTTTCACAACAAGAAGAGATGTTCATGGAAGAAAATAATGTGGGGTGCGTGTGGATGGATGGTGTAAAGGGAGACTTCATGCCCTAGGCCTCCAGCATCAGAGCTGTGGAGACTTTGACGACAGTCTGAACTGCATGAGACTGTGGGTAAAGTTTTTAAATTGAGAACTCTTAAATGGGAGGAATAATAGCCATCACAAATGCTCAGTGGGGTTGTGGGTATTTTGTTTACATCCATTACAAAAAAATGCATTTTAGGTATTTCTGCTCATGGTGTAGGATTTTGACCTTGGAATTTCTTCCTCAATTGCTTTTCACCTTAAAATGTATTGTGTGTTAACATATATGGTGTGTGTGTGTGTGTGTGTATGCCATGATTCATGTATGTGTATATGTGTATGTGTGTGTGCATGAATAGTGTGTGTGTATACCATGATTCATGTATGTGTATATGTGTATGTGTGTGTGCAAGAATAGTGTGTGTGTGTGTGTGTGTGTGTGTGTGGCGTGTGCACACTCATGCCATGGTGCATGTGTGGATGTCAGAGGATGTTTTTATGGAGTTGGTTTTCCCCTGTGGGTTCTAGGAATTGAACATAGCTTGTGCAACAAGCCACCTTTATCCACTGAGTCATCTTGCTGGTCCTCCACCTTTTTTTTTTTTTTTTGCATCATGGTCTCTCACTAAACCCAGAGCTCGCTGTTTGGGGCTAGTCTGGCTGGCCAGCAAACCTCCGGGTCCGGACTCCAGCCACCCAGTGCTGGGGTCAAGGTTGATAATATCACAGCAGCTTTTTATATGGCTTCTAGGATCTGAATTCAGGTCCTGATGCTTTCTGACCACCAAGAACTACACCATCTCCCCAGGTCCTTGGAGGGAGTTCTTCAAACGAGCTCTTTGATAAGCAATGGTTCTTTAAATGGTCTTCTTTTCTTTCTAGGGAGAACGGGAACCATGGTCTGCGCCTGTCTCATTGCCAGTGAGGTAGCTTTAAATGCAAAGGTATGAAAAGCATCACTCTCTTCTCACGTGGACTGAATCTTCTTATTCTGGAGCAGCACGGTGTTATGATGACTCTGAGCCATGACTCCTAGAAGTTAAACTGGAGAGGCGGTTTTCAGAAACCCTGGATTTGTACTCCTTTGTTTAATATTCAGTTGGTTATTGACCTATCTCTTGCCCTGGGCCAGGACTAGGCTAAGGTCAAAGAGACACAAAATCTAACAGAATGCAAAACACTCTAGTAATTAATATTTGTCAGATTTTAGTGCAATATTTTAAAACATAAGTAGTACAAAAATCATGATATGTACAATAGCAACATTTTAATAGAGGCAGGGCATAGTAACTGCAAAATTAAGGTAAAATAGGTTAAGCTACATCATGCAAATGTAAAAAGGCTCAGTTGGGTTTGCTGGTGCTGCCCCTGACCCAGTGCCATGCAGGAGAAAGAAAGATCTTAAACTCAAAGTTAGCCTGGATTATGAGGGGAAAAGGTCAAAATGTTCACCCTCCCCTCACCACCAATCACATGACTTCTTCTTCCTAAGAATAATATCGAGATTAATTAGATAAGTGCCTTCAGAGGACTTAAGTGTCTTTACAATCATTAAGTCATTAGAAATTAACATTTTCCAACTCACAACAGCATAGTATTATCTCTGCTTAGTCAATGTCAGTGTGTGGGAGATATCTGACCTTGCTAGAAAGGTCTGAGGAGACAACTTAGCCTCTTTCCAGAGCCTTAAAATTTTTTTTAACCTTTATTTAAGAGTGTGTATGTGAGTTGGTTTTCTCTTTCCACTGTGTGGGTTCTGGGCATCAAACTTAAGTTATCGGGTTTGGCAGTGAGTTCCTTTACCCACTGAGTCATCTTGCTTGTCCTCTTCACGCATTTTGAAACAGAAGTCTCTCTTCTGCCTCTAGGAGTTTGCTTCCTTCCGAAAGCTCTGTTTATCCTCTTGCAGGCTGTAAAGGAGGGGCTTTGGTTCCCAAACACACGCACTTCCAGAGTCCCACCACACATAGGTTTTGAAAATTGGTGTGGCATTCTAGTTTCTTATAGTCCCTAGTGGCTGTGGGTGATGCCATGCCTGCCATAAGGCTACGCCAGTTGGTCTAGTGCCTGTGGGCCAAGGCCACAAGTGAAAGAAGAAGGAGAAAAAAAGGTGTCCCTGGACAGTGATTTTTAAATTACAAATCAATAATCAATGAGCAATAAAATCAACTTCATGAGGGCCTGAGGAGATGGCTCAGTTGGTAAAGAGCCTGTTATATAAGCATAAAAACCTGAGTTCAGAACCCTAGCACCCGCATAAAAACATGGTAGCATGTACCTGTCTGTAACTCCAGGATGGGTGAGTAGGGTGCTAGAGACAGGTGCTTCGCTAGAACTTGTTGGTCATCCTGCCTAATCAAATCAAGTGAGCTCCATTGGAGGGGGGTGGTTCAGTGGGTAAAGAGCCTGTTGCTGTAGCAGGAGGGCCTGAGTTCGGATCCCCAGCACCTATGTAAAAACCACGTCCACACAGTGTGCGTGCTTCTATAACCCTAACATGGGAGGGTCTGAGGCAGGGTGTCAGGCCAATTTCAAGGGCTTGCTGACCAGACAATCTAGCTGAATGAGCTCCAGGTTCAGTGGTACCCTGAGTTTACCCACCTGGTTCCCTGGCTGGAGTCTGGCCCGTTTCTTGTCTGTAAAAATGGAAGGTAGAAGGGTTGGACCAGATGCTTTGTAGCCTTCCAGTGTGTATGAGTCTAGAGAAGTTCCTGATTTGGCTTTCTAACCAAACTTAGGGTACCCAGAGACTGCCAGCTTAAGGAAGCCAGACTTCAAGGATGCCTGGTGCAGGAAAATGAAGAGTTTTGCTACGCCAAGCTGTGTCGAACCCCTTTCCAGTAGGAAAAGGAAGAGTGAAGCTAAACCATGCTGTGTTGTCCTCTTTCCCATAGGAAAGTCTTTACTTTTTTGGGGAGCGGCGAACAGATAAAAGCAGCAGCTCTAAGTTTCAAGGCATAGAGACCCCTTCTCAGGTAAGACCCCTGTTTTGAGGGTTCTGTGGGAGGGCAAGAGACAGTGGTTATAGTTTCATGTCCCACCCTTCCAGTCTGATGTCTAGTTGACAGTGCTTAGTTGTCCTGGGCCAGGCTTTGTTCTCTCCTTGAAGCTGAGAAACCCACCTTGGATGCCAAATCTTGTGATCTGCTCAGAACATCCTGCTTTACATCTTATATTTGTTATTGTTTCTAGGGTTCAGAAATTGGTTTGCCCTCGAAAAGTACGCCATTCCTGACCTGTAACCATCATATTAAGTATATCACTCAATTCCCTAACACCTGTTAAGACACATGAACACATCAATCCCTGAAGAATGTCACAGGAACTGTTTCTGGATGGTGTGTGTGTGTGTGTGTGATGTGTCTATATGTATGTCTCTGTGTATATGTCTGTATCTGTATGTATGACTCTCTCTCTCTCTCTCTCTGTGTTGTTCTGTATAAAGAGAAAATATGACAATTATAAGGTAGGGGCAGAGAGAGGAAGAGAAATTATATTTTAAGGAAGAATAAGGCAGGCAGTGGTGGTAAATATCTTTAACCCCAACACTTGGGAGGCAGAGGCAAGGGCATCTCTGAGTTTGAGGCCATCCTCGTCTACACAGTGTGTTCCAGGATATCCAGGGCTACACAGAGAACCCTGTCTCAAAAAAAACAAAACAATAAACAAACAGAATGAAAAGGAAAAATAAGTACTTTGTAAAACACTATTATGAGTCAGCCATGGTGGCTCATGCCTACAATCCTAGAGTGAGGCAGGAGGATCTCAGTTTTGAGGCTAGCCTAGATAAAACCTGGTCTCAAAAAATATTTATTATATATCAGATAAGATTGTATTTCATATGTGTGTATCTATATATCACATTTAATTCTATATACTAACTATTGTGAAATATGTGCTATTGCCTTTTACTCTTTCAAAAACAGTGTCCTAGGGATAGTTGTCGGCGCTGTGTCAAACATGTGATGGAGCAGTTTAAAGGTGGGGAGGTTTGTCTGGCTCAGCTTAGGTTCATGGTCAATCGTTCCATTTTCTTTGCCCCTGAGGGAAGCAGTAGATGAGGGAGCCAAACCATAACCCTCAAACCATAACACATACACAAAAATGAAGTAGAACACTTTATCGTCGTCATACCACTTCAGGCATCATTTTAGCCCGCCATCATTCATTGCCTACCCATTCTCCTGGGTAGAGACATTAAATACTAGTGTCCACACTTTCTTTCCCTAAACCTGAATTATTTTGAAGAAAATTCCAGCCAGAATACCTTTTTTCCCTACAAGTATTTCAGTATAACATCTGACATAAGGATTCTCTTAAAAATACCTTAATATGGGCTGGAAAGATGACTTAGCCATTAAAAGTTAGGCTCATAACCAAAAACATAAAAAATACCTTAATATCCATCAGACATGCTGGTTGGTGCATACCTGTAATCCCAGTGCTCAGAAGGCAGAGACAGATGGATCTCTGTGGTCTCTGTGATTGAAGGGGGCCAGCCTAGACTACATAGAGAATTCCAGGATAGCCAGGGCTACACAGAGAAACCCTTTGTCAAAGCAAACCAAAAACTTTATTCTTATAATTTATCAAGGTTACCAGTGCAAGGGCTCAACTACAGGTTTAAGAAGTATTGGCCAGGTCATGGTTAGAGTGCCCTTTGCTGGTGCTGGTGGACTCAGCAATTGGGTACTGGCATTTCCACACTGTCACATCCTACACCCCATCACATCCTCAGCAGTTGAGTAGTGGTACTTACACACCGTCACATCCTATGACTTGTGGACAACTCAACTGGCCACATCACATCCACTTCAGAGTAAGGACTTACAGAAACCTTTCTTATAACTGTCATTTCTTTTTTAAAAAAATTAACATTTAGGTTAGCATACAAAGCAATTGATTTCATCATGACATCCTCATATATGTGTCATATTTTGTTCCCATTCACCCCCCCCCATGCCCACTGTCCTCATCCATGATCCATCACTCTCTGGCTCATTTCCTTCATTCCCTCAGTTTAGTATTCCATTATTCTCTCTGCGTCCTCATTCCTTTAAGATCTCTTCCTTCCCTCCCTTGATGCCCTGTCTAGTTTCATGAGCTGTATGTGCATACACAAACATATAAATACACAATGTACATACACATTATATATAATTTGAATTAGGTTCTGTATAAAGAGTAAACATGACAGACTCAGAAAGACACATGACTTCCATTTCTTTCTCTGTGTGTGTGTATGTGTGTGTTTGTCTAGTGCATACATGTGAATGTGCAGGTACATGTGCTGTGTGCATACATGTAAGGCAGAAGAAGGCACTGGGCATCTTCTTCTATTGCTTCTACCTTGGTGTCTTGAGATGGGCCTCTCACTGAACCAGAAGTTTGCTGTTTGGGCTATGTTGTCTAGCTGTCTAGCTAATGGATAAACTCCAGGTTTACTGAGAGACCTTGTGTCAGAAAAATAAGTCTATGGGAATTCTAAGCCAGTTTGGTCTACATAGAAAATTCAAGGTCAGCCAGGGATACATGCTGAGATTTTATCTAAATGTTGATGACGAGTCTTGATGATGATTATGATAATGATAATAATGATGATGATGATGATCCAAGAAGACAACCATCAGCAACCTCAGGCCTCCACATAATACCCAGATGCACTTATACAACATATATGTGTGTATAATACATATATATGCATATATATTATATAACACATGCACAAAACCAACAACATGGGCAGCCCATACATAAGGATTGGCTCCTTTCATGTTAGTTCATTCACCACAGCATCAGTACCCCACTCAGTACTTTTTCTTGGTAGATACTGAGTCATTAGACAACATATATGAAATATACCCAACTATGTAATAGCATCCTGCAATTGTTTCCTCAACTGTACCTGACAAATTCTTTGTAAAGGGGGAATATGGGGAAGGAGAACAAAAGGAGGCGGGATTAGTCATGCTGACTTTAGACTTTTCATCCCCACTTTAATTGAGGCTTCTGTTGCTTTGCAGAATAGATATGTTAAATATTTTGAAAAACTGAAAGTTAGCTACCAATGGATTCTCCCTTCAAGAAAAATACTCGTGATAAAAAGATTCATTGTTTATTCTATTCATGGTAAGTGCTTTATTTGGAACTGAAGTGCTGTGCAGAAGGGTCAGTGTTTTCATGCTTGGGAAGGCAACTGCTATTTACAATGTCCAAACATCAACTCTGACCTCTGTAGTTACCAAGTGGCAGCTTGTTGACAGCTCTTAAATGTCCTTCTCCTTCTTTTTTCTTCATCAGCTGGTGTGGGGGGCTTGGGGAAGGTACCCCTGTCCCTTCTCATTGCTTCGCTGACCTCAGTCCAGGGAATATTTCTGGGCCAGCATTAATGGAGGGGCAGGGAAAGAAGATAGCCTAGAGTACTCGAGACCCCTTCTTTCCCATACTCAACTCTAGTTCAAGGTCCATCTTGCAGACATCCCCATATAATTTCCTCGCCTGCCATTTCATTGACCCCCTTTTTCTCACCACCTGATTTCTTCATTTACCCCTTCTCCTCCTGCTACAACCTTCACTAGCATCTTGACGTCAAGATGCCTTAAATACCCAGGCTGCAAGTGTTTTCTTTAATGCCACATAACTACTAAGGCTTGTGTTAGACCAGGCTTATTCCAGTGTCTCCTGCCCTTTAGCAGTTCTTGGGTAAATTCTGCAGTCTCTGACAGTTGTGAGTGTCTGTGTTAATCACAACCTACATAAAGTGGAACATATAAATGGCACTCCCCACCATACCAAGGCTGAGATCATGGGAAAGACAGGGCGGAAAGAGGGTAAGAGTGGATGACTGCAAAGAGACAGTGTTTTCTGAACACAGTGGGAAGTTCACATTTGAACTCACAATAGTAGAGGTAGAACACACAAGACTGGGGCAAGCCCAAACCAGACCAAAGCTCAGCATGAAGAGAGAGGTTGGGCATGAAATCCTATGTCCAGCTGAGGAACCACTGGTGGTTGACAGCTGCTGGCAGAAGATGAGTCAGTTTGCTCTGAAAGTTTAGCTTCTGTCAACTACATTCCAGTGGAAGACTATACATCCAAGAACATTTGGGGAATACAAACTAGTCTTTATGGGTTTCAGTTGAAGAACAAATAGATACAAAGTAGGGGGGTATTGAAGGAATGGATCTAGGAGAGTTGGCAGCAGCAGAAGGTGAACAAGTTACATGGAATTCTCAAAGAATGAATACAAATGTTTTTAACGAAGTTCCTGTGAAGTTGGCAAAGGAGGGAACTAGCTCAAAGTTGAGCAGCTAGAGTTCTGGAGCACATAAGTCAGTACTCACAGAGATCCTCTGAGGAACACACAAAATAATACCTATGTGTATAATCTTTGACATTTGCTCCGTTATTCAGAAAGAAACCTTTAAGACACAATTTAAGGCTGGGCAGTGGTGGCGCACGCCTTTAATAACAGCACTTGGGAGGCGGAGGCAGGCAGATCTCTGTGAGTTTGAGGCCAGCTTGGTTTACAGAGTGAGTTCCAGGACAACTAAGGCTATTACAGAGAAACCCTGTTTCAAACAAAACAAAACAAAGCCAAAAAACCAAGAATAAAAATTGTTTACTAAAAATTCTAAGATTACAAATGTTCTAATAAATTCAAGTATCTCATCCATTGCCCTGACATGATATCTGATCATAAGACTATAGTTTCCCTCAATAATAGTTTCATGTTTATTTAACCTCTGTGGAGACATTGTTTATTTAAAACTAGAATGTTTTATAGATTTAGTCAAAGACCAGAGGCATTAACACAGAAGTACATATCCATGGAACTCTAGCAGGGCATTTCATGGGCTTGATTTGTAATTTCAGTTTAACACAAGGCAGAGGCATTTAAGCACTGTTTAAGGAAGACTCCTTAGGAAGACCCATGGACAGAAATGTGATCTTCTGACCCCAGACTTAAAGGGGGGCTTGCTCTAGATTACATACTAGACTTCAGGAGGCCTACATGTCCGGGTAACATTATTACAGCACCCATGTCAGCAACCAGTCTTGTTTTTTGAAGAAGAATAGTATTCCCTTAAAGAGGTCAGAATAGAAAGGGAATGGTCAGGAAAGGTGTAGACTTGAAAATAGACCACATCTGTCTATGCTGCTGTTTAGGCTTCTCAGCACCTTCCATTGTCTTTGAGCTATTTTGTAGTTTTTTATTTTGCAGAAAATTGATAATTACAAATAATCTGTCCATATAAGTGTAAGTTAATTGTGTCCAATAACTTGTATTTACTCATAAGTTCAGTCATTTCCTACCTGCCTGTTCATGTGTGGTACTTTAAAACACCTGTAACATTATACTTAATTAAACCCAAATTTTGGCAAAGTTCAAACCAATGATATGAAGCTATTTCCGTGAAACAGAAAGGGGTGTATGCGTTCACATTTAGGTGGGAAACAAATATTCACAATTGATTGTTAAAAGTAAATCAAGTTGCCTTGCCCAGCCTTTATACAAGGCTAAGTGCTTAGTCTTACTACAACTTGATATGCCATGTTTTGTTCATATCCTTGGAAGGCTTGCCCTTTTCTGAGTAGAAACAGAGAAGGAGTGGATGGAGTGGGGCAGAGGGGAGGTAGGAATGAGAGACTAGGAGGAGAGAAGGTTGGGGAAACTGTGATCAGGATGTAATGTGTGTGTGTGTATGTATATATATATATATATAATATATGTATATAGAAACCAAAAATTTCATCACCTAAAAATATAAATAAATAATATTGATTACATATTTGTTGCTGAGGAACAAAACAGGTGAAGGATGGGTAAGATAGATTTTTCACTTCATAGGGTTTTTGTTAATTTGTTTTACTTTTGTGTTTTTGAATCACATAGTCTGAAATTTTTAAGTATGTGAGAACTTAAGGGCTTAGATAAATCCATTTTTCTTGTCATATAAGTATTCGACTTCATATAGTTTTGCATTTTTAAATTTTTATCATCTATATTCATTGTAAATGATACTATGTTACATAAAACATTTTCATACACATATATAACAGTTTTGCATTTTATTGATTTCTGGTAGAAGTTTGGTAACTGGAATGGAGCAGAGGAAACAGGCAAGAAGCTACAATTCATAATGATAATCTAGTAAGCTTGTGTTAATGAAGCCTGAACTGTAAAGAAAACAATGTTAAGTGGACCATCAAAAATGACTATGACTTTATTAATCTGTTAAGGTAAAACATGGGGAAAGTTACGCGGAGGCTTCCAAAACCAGGTGTTTGAGGAGAAACAAAGAAGTGGGACCATTAGAACTAGAGACAGGGCCATAAGACCATTTATGTAAAGTTTATACTGAGTGCTAAAGGAAGTCTGACTATGGCCGCCCTGTGTCTTCATATAGATTACTTCACAAACTGGACTCAGGGTAGAATAAGAGGAATAATTTTTTGAATGTCATGATTGGAAGTCCAGGAAAATTTGTCAGCCACCTTCCCTGTTTTTTTTTTTTCTAGAAAGATGAAACAATGGGATTCTAACTCTTAGGAAGTAAATTATGTTTTTTTTCTCTCCCTTTCTATCCTTATAAATTCTGCTTTAGGAGACAAAATTGGGTTTTTGAAGTCTTTGTTTTTCAAAGACAAAATCTATACAAGGTCAAATGATTAAATATGACCACTTTGTTCAGTAAGATCATTAGTCTCTTTTCAGGCTGGAGTGTCAGTAGGAGAGCTGTTTTGACTTTTAACAACTCTATATTTTTCACTTTTACTTAGGTGTTGGAAAAGGTGATGGGAGTGATCTGGAAATACAGATACTAATGTGGCAAGAGATTGCATTCTCCTGTTTTTCTTCCAAAAATTGTATGGTAAGAGAAAACACATGAACTGAAATCCTGGTTTTACTTTTGCTTTTGTTGGTGCGTGCATGCGGCGGGTTATGGTTGCATGCGGAATCCACATGCCTAGGTTGGGTGCCTGCTTTAATGGCTAACCACCTCAATTTTTGAGACTGAGTATCGAACTGATCCTGGCACTGGCTAATTCAGACAGACCAGGGATCCTCCTGTCTCCACATCGCCTGTGCTGGGATTATGGGAATGATCCTCCACACCCAGCTTCTTATGTAGGTGCTGAGGATCCAAACTCTGGCTGATAATTTTGCTGGGCATAGTAATCTTGGTTAACACCTGTGTTATTTTTATTTTTCATTTTTTAAGTTTTTGAGACTGTAATTATAACATTTCTCCCTTCTCTTACCTCTTCAAACCCTCTCATATGCTGCTCCTTGCTTTCATCCAAACTGATGACCCCTTTTTCCATTAATTAGTATTGCATGTGTGTATGTATATTTATGTACATGGATATTCATAAATATAACCTGTTCCATCTATATAATGTTACTTGTGTGCGTGTTTTCAGGGTTGGCCATGTGGTATTGAATAGCCAGTCTGTGTGCTTTTTCCTGGTGCCTAGAATTCTTGTGTAGGGTTGAGGCCCCATGGCTTTTCCCTGTCTACTTTGGCATGTCTATTAGTGTTATCCTTGTTCAGCTCTTGTTTGGCCAGTCATATTGGGAACATTTTATGTGTATCACTTCCCACAATTACTAGAAGACACAGTATCACAGCAAATTCCCTGATCAGTTGGCTCTGAAAATCTTTCTGCCCCCTCTTCCACAATTTTCCGTGACTTCACTAGCACTGAGTATTTAGCTAGGTTTCCAGTACCAGGCATGGTTTTCCTCTGGTTGAATGGGACTCAAGTCCAATTAAAGAGCTGTAGGTTACTACTAAGGCATGTATGCCACTGTGCCCTTAGGCTTATCATGTCATGTTAGTCATTCATGTGCCTCATATGTGTCATAGCTAAGTACAACTGTGGGTTGCCTCCTTCCTTTAGAAGTTTGGGTGGCACCAGCCTGGTCTACAAGAGCGAGTTCCAGGACAGCATCCAAAAGCCACAGAGAAACCCTGTCTTGAAAAACCAAAAAAGAAAAAAAAGGTTTGGATGGCACGTTCCGGTGGTGTTTGTGTTCTTTTAGAGCTTGGAGTGCACTACTCCAGGGTCTTCTGGCTTTTAAAGTTTACATTGATAATTCAGCAGTTATCCTGCTGTTTTTACTTTATATGTGACTTGTTTTTCTCTTGCAGTTTTCAATATGCCCTCCTGGTTCTATATATTGTTTCAACTATAATATACCACAGTAAGTTTCTTTTCTGGTCCCTTATGTTAGGTGGTCCATGTACTTCTTGTATCTTTATATGTATGCCTTTCCTTAATTTGGGGAAATTTCCTTCTACAACCTGGTCTATGACCTTCACTGGGAATTCTTCTCCATCTATGCCTGTAATTCATAGTTTTGGTCTTTTCATGGGGTCTTAAAGTTCCTCATATTCCTATGTGCTATGAATTTCTTTATATTCTTTGCTTGAGTGCTCCAATTTTTCCACTTCACTCTCGTCTTCATGTTCTATCTTCTATTTGACCCATTCTATTGGTACAGCTTTCCCCTGAGCTTTCTAATTGGGTTATTGAGTTTTTCAATTCATCATTTCAGCTTGTGTTTTCCTCAGTATTTCTGTCTTTCTGCTGTACTCATTTTTTAGATCCTGTCTTTTCTTCATTATTTCATTCAACCATGTTTGTGTTTTCTTGGACTTCACTTGGGAGTTTAAGTTAATTGAGAGATTTAAACTGTTTAAACTCCATGAGTTCTTTGCTCATCATCGTTATTTTTAAATCCTGTGTCCTGGGTTCATCTAAGTAATTCTCATTGGAGAACACATCTTTCACATTTGTTATGATTTTTTTCCAAAGTGACCTGGGCATGTGGAGTTCTTTTTTTGGATGTATATCAGATGTGGAATTCTAGTCTGCTCTGTTTAGTAGACGTTGGCTTTGTTGGTTGCCACCCATGTTTGGTTGATCTGAGACATCAGCTATGAAGAGTTGGTAGGTCAGTTCTCTGGTTCTCAGTGTTGATTATTTTTTACGTGTACAGGTGTTTTTGCATGCCTGTATGTGTACACCATGTGCCCAGAGAAACCAGAATAGGGTATCAGATTGCCACCAGAGTTACGAATGGTTGTCAGCCACCATGTGGGTTCTGGGAACCAAATCCAAGTTCTCTGGAAGAATAGCCCGTGCTTGTAACTGCTGAACCATCTCTCCAGCCCCTTGGTGTTGATTTTTGATTAGATGGGTGTGGGTGATTCTGATTCAGTGGTAACCAAGAAGTGTATGAATGGGACTTATGACTGGGTCTGCCCGGGATGGTGTGCAAGCTTCACTAGCTGAGCTATGCATAGGAGTATGTGCAGATGAGATGTAAGCTGGAGTATTCACCAAGCTAGGCTGATGAGTGCACAGGCTGTGCTAGTAAGGCGAGGCCTTGGGTTTGGCATAGCCAGGTGATGCTCTGTGAGAATTACCAGGCTAGGTCAGCACAGAAGCTGCTAACACAGCTAGGCCTGAGTAGTGGGAATGTCATATGTGGTTCAGATTGCAAGGAACTCACTAGGATAGATGGGTGCAAAGGCTGCACAACCAGCACAAGACATGGGGTATGGGGATGGCAGGCATAGTGCCTTTTTTTTCAGAAAGGCTTCAATATAGGAATATCAGATGGCATATTTCCAGCAGTAATGCTTTCTTGGTTAAGGTCTATTTAGCACTGTATTTTTCAACACTGTCCTGTCATAGCCTTCAACAGATGTAAGGTTAATTTAAATAGTTTAGTTATTATTTCATAGGATTAATATCTACATATATATATATATATATATATATATATATATATATATATATGAAATGACTGGGCTATGGTACCATGAATACTTGATAAATTCAGGGTGTTTGAGGGAGTAAAAGTGGATTTCACTCTTATACTTCTTAACCAAGCATGTAGTTCTGAATTTCATGTTTATCCACAGATATTTCATGATGTTGAAACAGACAGACTAATAATTAATGTATTCAACTGTCCAGCTCTATATGATGATGTGAAAGTGAAATTTCTCTCTCTGGTGAGTAATCAAGATGCACCTTGTTCTTGCCTAGTCTTTTTCTTTTGTTTTAGTTAGTTGAGACAGAGTTTCACAATCCAGGTTGTCCGGAAGCTTACCAGGCAACACAGGCTGGCATTGAACCTGTGTTCCTCCTGCCTCAGCTTCTCAAGTGCTGTGGTTACAGGTTTGTGTCACCGAGCATGGCTCTTTCTTCTTAGTCTTTTGAATGATTTTGGTTTGGAATTTCCTTTGCTACAATTCCCAATAAAGAAATGACAGACATTAGCCCATGGCCAGGAGGTTAGAAGAAAGCAACAAATCAGAATGAAACATTTTCCCCTAAAGAATACATATAATATTTTAGTTTCTTTTATGAATTCCATATAATAAACATAGTAATTTTCAAATAAAAATAGAAACATTTTGATTTAAAAAACAAGTGTACTACAAAGTAGTGATTATGTTTTTGTTTTGTATCTTTAAAATATATTGTAGCCACTGGGAGTTTGGGTATATGTCTTTAATACCAGCACTCAGGAGACAGAGGCAAGTGAATCTCTGTGAATTTGAGGATAGCCTGGTGTTAAGTGAAGCTTTTTCTTTTGCTAGCCGCTTTGGTTATCCCCCGCCAGTCGCCTGGGCTCTGCCGCGCCAGCCTGGTTCTAGATCCGCAAGAGTCCCAAATAAACACACAGGAGGCTATATTAATTATGAAGCTGTTGGCCTTGTTTGTCTCTTACTGGCTAGCTCTGCCTTAATTACCCCATAATTGTTAATCTAAGTATGTTTCTTACCGGAGAATAGTTCCCGGCGTCCTACCCCCATGGCGTCACATGTTGACTCTCTTGTGTTTCCCCTTCCCAGAATCCTCCTCAACTCCTAGTCCCTCCTATCTAGGTTTTCTATTGGCCAGACAGTACTTTATTGACAAATGCACAGGCAAATAACAGGACTTCCCCAACATCTCCTCTTTTCTGTTTAAACAAAAGAAAGGTCTTAATTTTAACATAGTCAAATTGTATATGACAGAACAGTTATCAAGTAAACATAGTTACAATATTTTAGCAAGATTTACAGAAAATATCATCCATCCCATCCTTGTGAGTCAAAAGTTCTATATGTATCTTTTATCATAACTAAGGAAAACTATAATTATAACTATCTGTCTTCAACTCCATCAAAGACCACAGAAGGATAATATATAAACACTAGGATTAACAGAGATATCTTACTGCCTGGACAGTCACCCGAAGTTCCTCTGTAACGTTGGGGCATCCATCTTCAGCCCATAGGCCACAATGTGTCCAGAAGATTTCTCAGCAAAGCAGGAAATTTCAAACTGTCCATCTGCATTGGCAGTCTGTAAGTCATTTTTCTTTGTCCTGCAGAAAGTCTCGTAGACTCTTCATGAAGCAGGAACCCTGTAAGACTGAGTTCAGTAGTCACTTTCGTGTGGGTCCTGCTTGTCCAGTTTATACAACAACAGTCAAGAAGTACAGGCAAGAGCAGTTCTTGCCCAAATGGCTAATCTTGCCATGTTGAAAGCAAACTGCATAGCAAGTTTCTTCGATGCCCATCTTCCTCTCAGACGTAATTGGTGCTGCCAGGAGCAGACATTTCTCATTGTCAAGAAAAACCCTAAACCATTTTAAATGCCATGTTCTGAAGGTCTTTGAGAGGTTTGAAGACTGTCCATCTCAAATATATTTTTGTATATCTAGAAAACCTAACTTACCTAACTATAAATTCTAACTATTATAAGTAACTATCTATTGTCTGTATTTAATTATGCATTACATTTTAAAAGAACAGTGTAAGTACAATACTTAGTCAAGAGGAGAAATATACTTATCACAAAATTGACTTTGAATTTGTATCAATAAATGAAAAACAATACCCATAACATAATTCCCCTTTTTACCATTAAAAAAGATTGGCTGTGATCACTAGCCAATTATAAACAATCCCATTTAGATGAAAACAAAGATTTATAAACAAGATGGGAATTGGGACGTCGCTCATTCCAAACTGCTTCCTGCTGGAAGGGGGCGCTGTTTATACCATGGGGATCATGACAAAACTCAGAAACCTGTATAAGTCCGTATTTTCGGGGTCTGTAAGACTGCATCATCTTCGCTGTTTCGATTGTTGGAACACCTGGGACACTGCTTCCGGGGGTCTTGGTTCGTCAAACCACAAAAGCCTGGAAGGAATCCTTAGCTTTTCATTTTCTGTAGAAACATAAATAAAAACTCCTTTTCCAAGTAACATATCCTTACACTTAAATTTTGAAGTCAAGGCATTTTTAAAAGATAGAAGTTGGATTACTTCAGCAGCATTTATAATCAAGTGTACTTTAGCAGCAGTTCCTTCCTGAGCAAGCAAAAAACTGAAAAACACAATAGCGTACAGTATCCAGACTCTCTGTGTATTTTCCATCTTTACGTGGCTTATTTATTTATCTATTATTACTTTATTTCTTTCACTTTTATTTATTTTTCTCTGAGACAGGGTTTCTCTTTGGAAATCCACCTGCCTCTGCCTCTGGAGCAATCCTACCGGCGTGCGCCACCACAACACCGGCTTTTGTATTTATTTACCACTTTGTCGTTTCATTTTCTCTCTCAATCTCACGTATATTTTTAAACACACTGTAAACCTTTAGAGATTTTCTTCATCCAAGTCTGACTTTACTGTAAATCTTTATGTTTTTCTGACCACGTGTCTTATCTGTTAAACCGCGGCTGTTTTAAACTGCCGGTTTTTCCGTCAAGATGGCGGGCATAAGCGTGACTGCAGCTTACCGCCTCAGTCCATGCTGACATCCAGCAAAACCTGCCACTTCCAGCTGTACGTACACGCCTTTTAATTGTTAGCAGAGTCTCTTAAAACAACCTTGTTGGTTTTTTTTTTCTTTTTATGCCGAGTCAGGAAGACTCCGGTAAGCAAGCCACGTGAATCTCGGCTTGTTGATAGCAAAACAGAGCACAACTGAGAAAATGCTGCTACCAAAATTCTGTGCTTCTCTCCGTTCTTCTGTTTCTAAAATTCCTTTAAATCTTTTGTTATTTTGCGTGGAAATTCATCATCCCACTTCTGACACCATTCTGTTAAGAGAAGCTTTTTCTTTTGCTAGCCGCTTTGGTTTATCCCCCCGCCAGTCGCCTGGGCTCTGCCACGCCAGCCTGGTTCTAGATCCGCAAGAGTCCCAAATAAACACACAGGAGGCTATATTAATTATGAAGCTGTTGGCCTTGTTTGTCTCTTACTGGCTAGCTCTGCCTTAAGTAATTACCCCATAATTGTTAATCTAAGTATGTTTCTTACCGGAGAATAGTTCCCGGCGTCCTACCCCCATGGCATCACATGTTGACTCTCTTGTGTTTCCTCTTCCCAGAATCCTCCTGGACTCCTAGTCCCTCCTATCTAGGTTTTCTATTGGCCAGACAGTACTTTATTGACAAATGCACAGGCAAATAACAGGACTTCCCCAACAGCCTGGTATATGTTGTGAGTTCCAGACCAACTGGGTTACATAGTGAGATTCTGCCTCCCCAAAACCCAAGATGACAAACAAACAAAACACCATATTGTTCCCAATAATTTATAACATACATTAAAAGAAAGGTTTTTAACTTACCTTTGAATTGATAAACAGTATAGTAGTTTTATTAAGCTTGGCGGTGGTGGTGCATGCCTTTTAATCCCAACACTTGGGAGGCCAGAGGCCAAATGAGTCTGAGGCCAGTCAGGACTATTACACCAAAAAAAATGTTTTAGTAATCTTAATCCTGCCTAATGAAAAACTGGGAATGTCTTCCATGGCCAAGAATGAACACTGAGTCCATGTGTGCTAGGTAGGTATGGTGGAGACGATCACAGAACACAAAAGGTAAGAACAGAAGCTTTTTATTACATAAGGATCCCAGAAAGAAGACAGCCTCATGGGAAGGAAGAAGGGAGTCACCTAAAAGCAATAGAAAAGGACCTCACTCAATATGATCTTTCCTAGTTCCATCCGTTTATGTGCAAAGTTCACGATTTCATTTTTCTTAACATCTAGATAGTACGCCATAACGTGTAAGTGTCACATTCTCATTGTCCACTCATCAGTTGAAGTACACTGGGCTGTTTCCATTTCCTAGCTATTGTGAACAGAGCAGTAATGGACGTGGCTGAGGAAAGTAACTGGGGAATAGGATGTTGAGACCTTTGGACCATATGGTAGACTTGTTTTTAGTGTTTTCAGAATTCACACTGATTTCCATGGGGCCTGTACCAGTTTGCAATCCCAAGAGTGAATGAAAGTTCCTATTTCTCCACACCCCAGTTTATTGATCTTTCCCAATCTTATTGGGGAAAGATGAAACCTCAAAGTTGTTTTGATTTGCTAATTGCTAGGGATGATAAACTTTTTTGGATATATTACTTATCTATTTTCCCCCTCTTTTGAGAACTCTGTCCATGTCCATTTTAAAATGTCCTTTTATTATTGTTATTATTTATTTTTTGAGTGCTTTATATATTCTGGATATTAATCCTCTGTCAGATACATAGCTATTGCCCTTGATTGTCCCCCTTCCCCCCTCCTCCCCATCTCCCTCCCACCCAGTGTTGGAGGATAAATCTCTACTGCTTGAAACCAGGCGGTGGTGACACACGCCTTTAATCCCAGCACTTGGGAGGCAGAGGCAGGCGGCTCTCTATGAGTTTGAGTCCAGCCTGGTTTACAGAGCAAGTTCCAGGACAGGATCCAAAGCTACACAGGGAAACCATGTCTGGAAGAAACAAAAAAAAGTGTAAGAGCCAGAACATTGGGAGTGTACAGTAGTGATATTACATCAGAAGCTACATCCATTAAAATTTCATCAGCAAGGACAATAACAATAGACATGCTAACATGGACTGGTTCAGGAAGCTCAAGAGGCCTCAACTCTACACCAAGAACTGCAGGCAACTAGGGAATTCTGAGAGCTGGAGAAATAGTCTCTTCCCTCAGTATGAGCACACTAATTGTTCATGCAATACCAAATGGTCAACACTAAAAACATACATACAAGTAACATTATACAGCCTGAGCAACTTGTACTTACATAGGAATATGTATGTATGTATGCATGTATGTATGTATGTGTGTATTCACACATGTATTTAACAACAATTAATGAAAACAGAGGCTATGAATTCCAAAAAGAACAAGGAGGTTCTTTTGGAGGAAATGTTCCTTCCTTCTCTTTCCTTCTTCCACCCTCCTATATGCTCTCCCCTTCCCCCCTCTCATATTTTAAGATTTCATCCTTCCACATTATCATGTCTATTGGTGTTGACATTGTTTAGGTCATGTATAAGCAGCCATATTGTTGTGATCATGGATGAAGCCTGCCTATCACTTCTAACACATCTCATAGCTTATTTCCTGGTCTTCTGGCTTTTACAATGTTTCTGACCCCTCTTCCCTGTTGATCCTTGAGTCTTAGGTACAGGAGGTGTGCTGTGGATGTGTCCATTGGAGCAAGGTTCTCCATGATAAGTTGTTCTCAATATTTTGACCAGTTATGTTTTTTTTGTAGTTGTTTTTGTAATGATCTCTGTCTGCTACAAAGAAAAGCTTCTTTGTCGAGGTTTAAGAGCTACACTTAACTGTGGGTGTGAGGGTAAGTATTTAGACTGCAGTTAGGAATTATGCTGGTTTAGTAAAGTGATTATTCTCTAAGATCCATGACCACTAGCTCCAGGTAGTTGGCTAGGTTTCTGGCACCAGTCATGACTTATCTCCTGATGAGTGGGCCTTCAGCTGTTGGTTTATGCCAAGATAGAGTGCCACTGTTGCCATAGTGCTGATGGCTGGGTAGGACTATTGCTTGCTTTCCTCCCCTCACAGGATACAGAGAGCTTCCAGAGGCTTTGTCAGGTTCAGCTTGGCTCTTCTGAGTCCTGTGTCGAAAAGTCCATGGTGTTTTCAGCAATAGGGACTTACCGTCAACCTCTGGGAGGCAATCAATGGTAAAAGCAATAGTCTATATTGTTTGGGGAATCTCTGGGTCTTCTCTGGCCAATAATTTGAAATGAAACAGTTTCTCACACTTGGTACTGAGGGTTTTGTTGGTCTATTGCCCTTGGTGGGAATGCTGTCAGCTCAAATGGCATAACATACATATATATATATATATACATATATATACATATATATTACTATATATAAATTTACAATAAAAATGATTCCTTATGCCATTTTAATGCATAAAAGTTACATTTTAATGAAGTTCAATTTGTCTGCGTCTTTTACTGCAATGCATTAATTTGAGATTTATAGTTTAATTGAAAATTACCAGTGAAGTAATACATTTTTAACAATAAATATTCCTTAAAATTTTTAACACTGAGAAAGCAATAGTCTCTTGAAGCCTTCTGTCTTGAGCGTATCATTATGAACTGTAAAGTGCTATGTATTTAATGTATGTGATTGCTTAATGTTTTTACAGGAATAAGGGAAGAAATTTTAAACTCATTGGAATCATTAATTCTTTGTATCAGTTTTATCATGAAACTAACCTTTTCTTTAACCATGCCTTTTTTAGAATCTCCCTAGATACTATGATGACTGCCCGTTTTTCTTTTGGTTTCATACTGCTTTTATACGAAATAACAGGTAGGGATACATTGTAAGCCAACAGAACAACTTAATATCCCATGTGTGTATTATGTCAAGGTTTATGCCGGATGTCCTAAGTTCAACTTACAGAAACAAAACAAAATCCTTGAGTCTTCATTCCAATGCATTAATCGCCTTAATGTGGTTTTAAAATCTTTTTAGAGTCTGTTTGTATTTATTAATGAAATACACGTACAGCACAATATACATTTGCAGTTTGTTTCCTTTTATCTTAATTTTTCATGGAACCCCATCCCATTAGCTGCTCCCACCTCCACTCTGTTCCCCTCACTTGAGACATCATGTGACTTGGTAAAGGTTATTTTCAAAATACAGCTGCTTCTCAAACCCCAGTGTTGGATTAATCACAAGCACTGTTCCCTTGGACTATAAGTTAAAATGTATTATACTCAGATTTTGAGTGTGACAGTAAATTCCTTCCATGAAGTTGAACATACATTTACTTAGTGTCTTGAGTTTAGCAAGGCCTCAAAGAGTGTTGGCTAAGTGGCACCCAACCACCAAATTCCAAGTGTGAGCCAGAGGTGTCCACAGCTTAGAAGTTGGTTGGTACACCTAACATCTAGGGCAGCAGTACTAGTGAAGTCACCTAAAATCAATTGTGATAATTTCCCACTTAAATATGATATTAGAAATTGAATTAGAAATATGTATTTAAAAATTAATTGGATTTGATTATTCCAAAGAATCTTCTCGTGGTTATGAGAACAAGGGGGAGACACAGACAGGCAGGCAGATAGACAGATAGACAGAGAATCCACTACAGTAGAAAAATAATTTTTTAACTCAGTTAATAGATGGTGTTGAAGTGGTTGTCATTAAACAGGCCATTAGTCCATGTTGATATAGGAAAAGTAAAGTTGGACCACTTTAATGCTTGCTTTTACATAAGATGTTAAAGATGTTTGTAACATTTAATTTGCATATGGATAAAACAAACTGTTTATATGGTGAGGAGACAGCTATTAGGCCAAAACACAAAGTTCTTCACTTAAAGGAGAAGCGATATTCTATTACTGGATTTTATTGCACACCTCTGGAGTATGTATGCCTCACTTATAGAAATATCACTAATAAGATCATAAGAACCAGTGTTGGAAGACTCAGCAACATGTCCTTATCAAGGTAGAGTTGGAAGGACTCAACCAATACATAGTAGGGGTCTGAGGCTCTCATCGTTAGGGAGGTCTTTTCCCTGAAGCACCAACAAAGTAATCTACTGCGTGACTTTCTCTAAGTCCTAATAGAAAACGTAATGATTTTTTTCCTATTTTTAGGCTTTATCTACCAAGACATGAATTGGATAATACTCATAAACCAAAAGCATGGAAATTTTACAGTCCAAAGTTTGCAGTAGAGGTGTATTTTGATGAGATAAAGTTGTTGAATAAGTAGCTGTTGAGTAAGTGCCAGTCTCCTTCCTGATAGAATCATGTTCTTCCCAATCAATGCTACAAATTTATGTCTTCTAACCTATGTCTTTGATGGTACGTCTGTATTATATACATGTGTGAGTATGTACATATGTTTCTGGAAAATAAATGTATACAGGAAAAATAATGTCAATGGTCTTTTTCTTTATTTTTTTTTATTTTTTTATTTTTTGGTTTTTCGAGACAGGGTTTCTCTGTATTGTTTTGGAGTCTGTCCTGGAACTCGTTCTGTAGACCAGGCTAGCCTCGAACTCACAGAGATCTGCCTGCCTCTGCCTCCCGAGTGCTGTGATTAAAGGCGTATGCCATTCACGCTCGGCTCGGTATTTTTCTTTTGAAGGCACATACAATATGACCTTTCTCTTTTTGATAAAGGGTCTCACTATATAGTCCTTGCTGGCCTGTAATTCACTATGTAGGCTAGAATTGAAGTCAGAAATCCACCTGCCTCTGCCTCATGAGTGTTGGGATTAAAGGTGTGTATCACCATGCTTGGCTCTCTGTACTGTTTGGAACATACATTACATAGGAGTATTAGGTATCGTTTTTTAAAGAACTTTGAAATAATAAATCTTTGCTGTCAAAAATTTGAGCTATATAGAGATTGTGTGTTCCCATAACACACATGTACTTACATGTTTCTGAACAAGTATTATTTTGTGTTTTACGTTTGTAATTTGCCTCTATGGATTCACAGATTAAGATACATCAGATTGGCAGCAGTGCCAAGAATTTTTTCTTTGTTTTGGTGTGTTATTTGCATACTTGTTATGTATATGTATATGTGCATGGGTGTGCTTGTGCCATTGTATACACATAGCTGTCAGAGTACAAACTCATGCAAGACTGTTCTCTACTTCATTATATGGGCTCTGGAAATCGAACTCAGGTCTTCAGGCTTGACAGCAAGCACCTTTACCTACTGAGCCAGCTCCCCAGCCCAAAGTTTTACATTCAGAGGAGAAAAAAAAACTAGCCCCTCACTGATAATTCACCTGTTCCCTTTCTCTAGGCAATGCACAGGTAGATAAATGACAAAGTCTCTTTAGTTACACACATAGGAAGGAGAAAAGGATGCTGAAAAGCATGAAAAGGCAAGACTTTCGTGACTACTGCTTTTATGTAACCTTAAGTGAATCTGAAGGAAACTGAGTGATCTAGATGTGTTAAAGTCCTGTCCTCAAAATCCCTTTAAGAAAAAACAATTATCTTAAACTTAATAGCAACTACTTAAATTATTTTTAAAATGTAGATACACTGAGGGGCTAAACAGGGATGGCTCATTCAGTAAAGTGGCTGCTGAGCAAGAATGAGTACTTGAGTTCAGATCTTAGCACCTGTGTAAGATGCAACACACATCTGTAACCCCAGAACTGTGGGACTAAAAACAGCAAATCTCAAGGGCTTGCTGGTCTACTCAGGCAGTGAGCTACAGGTCCAGACCCCGCCCCCAAACTCAAAATATCCTAAGGTAGACTTAAATAGCCCCAGGTAATTGACCAGGTTTCCAGCACCAGGAATGGTATCCCTCTTGGTGAGTGAGCCTGAAGTACAATTAGAGAGTTGTTGGCTATCGTTACAGTATGTGTGCCACTATTGCACCGTTGGGGTTATCATACCATGCTGCAATCATTTATCTTGGAGAACATACAACCGCTACTTTACTAAACCAGCATGATCCCTGACTGCATTCTAAGCATTTTATCTTTATACACAGGTAAGTGTTGTCTTTGCCTCTCATCAAGGAAACTTCTCTTTGCAATGGACAGAGACTATTATAGAAAACCATAACTGATCACAGTTGTGGAAAGCTAGTAGAGGAAAATGTCAGTCTCAATCTCTGGCTGCCACACACCCATTCATGGCTGAATGCATACACACATACCACACATATACAGTAAATAAATGGATGAATGAATAAATAGATGCTGTCTTAGTCACTGCTCTTTTGCTGTGATAAGGCACTGCAACCATGGCAACTCTTATAAAAGAAAGCATTTAATTGAAGGCTTGCTTACAATTTCAGAGTGTTAGTCCATTATAATCACAGCAGGGGAGCATGGCAGGCATGCCTCTGGAGATGAGAGTGCACAACCTGACCCACAGGCAACAGCACCTTAAAATTTATTATCCATAACTCTTTAATATTCCTATTGGTCCTTAATATAGATAGAATGTTTTTAAGTGAAACTCATCATAGACTCACATTAGTTTCATTTAATAATGATAAATTACTCATTTCTTTAAACAAACTATCACAAGTTCTGGTTTTGTCTCAAGTACAGTTGTACCCAAACATTAACCCACAAATTAAACCAACAGAATAATAACAAAAAATTCTCCTTAGGCCTCTATTTTTCACTCCCCCTTGTTTCTATTTCTGTAGCAGAGGCCACAATGGACAGACTGTGAGAAGACACACTGCCAACAGGGATAATAGATCCCAGGCACCAAAAAGGGAGGCCCTGGCTCTGGTCAGTCCTCTTCCTGCAGGGAACCAATCCTACTTTCTACAATTCAGATGAAGCACCACTCAGTAGCCACTGGTCATACAAGAACAGAGGGAAAGAAAGTGGAAACACGGTTTCTCATAAGAAGTCAGCTCAGGGATACTGAGAGGCATCCCTCCTTTGGGGGGACACTTTGCTTCCTCAACCTTGTGCTCCTGGCACTATGGCAAGAGGGCATTAATAAGGTCAGCCTACTTCTTTAGCCTTATAGGCAGAGTAGGAACAAATGCTACTGTCAGTCCCTCTGGTCTTGGAAGTACTTCGGACAATGAGATTTTTGTTGCTATATACATATTACCTGGCTTAATAAAAATATTTTTATTATGTCACAATGTCTTCCAAATTTACACATAATCTATAGTTATCAAAATTTACACACTTCCAGCTCCAAATGTAGAAGTAAATCAAGGAGTTATGGACCACAAGTTAACTTCAGGAGGGTGAGCCCTGATATGGTTATGCTGTGGTGCCTCATGGGCTCCTTTGGACTTCCTCATGAGAAGGACCCCTTGACAAAAGCAGGGAGCCCAGACTTCTCCACTTCCTGAAAGGGCCTCTGGTGGGTGGAGGCAGAGAGACAGAGGGTGCAGAGTGGTTTCATATCCAGGACCAAAAGAGCACCCTGGGTTCCTGCTGAGACCAGGTAAGAGACACTGTCAGTTTTCCTGAGAGATTGGCAGGGCAGTCCCTTGTCTATCATGGGTCTACCACAGGGCAGGAAGCTCTTTGACTGAGAAGGGAAGCTGGTGAGTACTCTGCCACCCTCCAGGCCACTCCTGCCAATACTAGAGTGTAAAATAATAAGCCCACCTAGGAAAAGATTGGCATTCTTATGAGCATCAGAAAAGAAAAAAAATCTGGGATATCCAACCTGAAATTTCATCAAGCGTATAGAAGCCACACAAGTATTCATACAAGTTTATCTAAAAATATAGATGGATGTTTTAGTTTTAATGTCCCACTTTAACCTCTTCGTTTTAACCTCAGCAGCCTTTGGCCCTACATATAGGATGAGTTAATCATTTACCGCCATCAGTGTAAAAATTGGTCACCACTTACAACTAGACATGGTACAAAATCGTGTATCCCTCAACCTAGGACCATCTAAAACTGCATGTGTGCCTCTAACTTCTGCAGAAGTCCTGAGAGGAGCGCAGTGCATAAGGCCACCAGCGAGTTACCCTGTACATTCCACCAAGGGCAAGAGCAGTGACTTTTTTCTTTTGGTACAATAATGGGCAGAAATTATACCATGTAGACTAGAGGGGCTTCCACAAAGTCTTAAGACCTTGAATAGAAGAAGGGAAGACAAGGACAAAAGTCCCAATTAATCAAATAATTCCACATTGTTCTTGTACTCTGTGAAACCCTGAGTTAATAACAGTCACTAAATGCCTGCCTTGAATCCAGGTCCACCACGCCACTTCAGTATGCTTCCAATTGGTTCATCATCAACTTCCTGCTATATTCATAGGCCAAAAACAGTGCTCCATTGGCAGGGAAAGCTCGAATCATAGTAGGTTTCAGTCCAGAATACAAGGCTGTTATTCCTGCAAGACAAAATGGCAATCAAAGATTGTGACAGCAGTCACCTGAGGACACACATGCCAACTGCACAGCAGAGATTACCTGGGCCCACAGACTCAGGCACAGTACTAAAGCTCTTGTGATGAAGGGACTTGCTTTCAGGTTCCCCTCAACAGACTTCAGAAACAAGGTAAGTAGCAAGCCCCCTGGTAAAGTTGATTGATGTCAAATACCAAAGCACTGCTTTCTATGCCTGGAGGACTCCTGCAGTATGGTCAGGGCAGAGCTAAGGCCTAACATGGCCAGGTGGAGGTGACGGAAGAGCCCAGGGGGCCAGCAAGAGATGTGTTCACCCTGCTCAGCTTGGTCATGGGGGAGACCTAGATGAGGAACTTAACTAGGGTGTACCAGGCCAGCCTGGAGAAGGCATGTAGGAGTGGTGACAGACAAGAGACCTGCACTCTATGTGGGCTATGAATTAAACATATCTCTGTCACTGTGCTCTCTGTAAACCCAAAGCATGAGTTCACAGTCCAAGGTACTTTTTGTTTTGTTTTGTAGATATTGGCGTTTTTTTTTGACCGCATCTATTTTGCTTTTTAAATTTTTATCTTTTTAAGATTTTAATATATTTATAAATCATTTACTTCTTTCCTTCCATTCAAACCTTCAAATAACCCTAGTTTTAAGATTTTTTCATATTTGGATTATGTAAATGAGGTGATGTCACTTGCTTCAGAGCATTCTTCCCTCTAGACAAAGTTTCTATCTTAAAAATCCCCCCCAAAGAAATCTGCCAGATACCTGGGCCAGAAGTTAGGAAAAGAACTTGAAACATTTTTTTTTTTTAATTACAATTGTTTGGCTGTTGACTCAGGCTTGCTATTGGCTAGCTCTTGCTTCTTTTTTTTAAATTTATTTTTCAGTTTAAATTTAGATAAGAAACAAGGTTGTTTCACAAGTCAGTTCCAGGTCCCTCTCCCTTTCCCTCCCCTACTCCCGTGCCCTCCCCCCAACCCCCCCCAACTTGAAATATTTTTGAGAACAATGAAAACAAGCTAAAGCAAAAGGGTCGGAAACAGAAAGCCAA